GTTATTAGACTTCAGGTTCCACCCAGCATCCAGAACATCATGGTATCTTTTGAGCCAAAGTTTCAAGGTCCTGTAGTATGTCATTTGCCTCCATGTTCTAGGATTGTGTTCACTCACCTCACATTCCAGACCATAGAATTTTTGTTGACTACCATGTTACCAGAAGATCCATTCATCATCAACTCCTCTCACATCATTAGTAATCAAAAACATGTCATCAATATTAATGAGAGTATGAATGTTATCACTGGTGAGGTCAAAATCAAACCTGCAGATGCCAACCAATCTGCCACCACAGTGAGTTACTACATGTTTAATTTTCTTGCTAATGCATTGCATAGGGCCCTGCCAGGATGTTGCCTGCAGCTCCAATCTCTGCCCTCTTTGATGTTGCAGGAAATGCTTCTCCCAGTGACAACCATATCAAGTCAACAAGTGCCAAGCCCCTCATGCCTCATGCCCCTGTCATCAATAACAGTGAAACCGAGCCTGAAAGTCAGGAAGGGACCCCTAGGCTCCTCAAGGTAAGTTCTAATGGACCATTCCTCGCTTTACTGATGTTGTCTTTTAGAAAGTCACTTCAGAATTACCTGTCTCCGCTGTATCTGCTCATGGTCCTCACTGTCCCCTCAAGCATAGCTTCACACCTGATAGCTTTGCCAAATCTGAGGATATTGGTAGCATCAGCACACAGTTCCTCTGTGTATGTTTTCTTTTTTTCATTTTGCATCATTATGTACTCATGTTATTACCTTACCTAGGGCAGGTGGGCTCAGATAAGGGAGAACCTCATAGCTGGGCAGGAATGTTACAAGCTGATCTTTGCTGATACTAGCACCCCCCCCACCAAACACTCTTGCAAGTAGTACCTTCATCTTTGTATGTAGAAATTTGCCTTCACAAGTTGTATAACCAGCATGTATGTGATCTTCTTTTTTGTCCACATGAGATCCTGTTCCTGCCCATCCACACCTGCACCCACACCTGCACCTGCACCTGCTACAGTGCATCACCCACATCAATCAAGCTATCACCTCAATGGGGTTCTGGCAGTGCCATTGCAAGTCCAAAGGATGCTGTGGGGCTCTAGTCCCTGCCCACATTGCCTTTGCCCATGAACATGCTGATCTCCATAAAGCTACTGAGGCATCAAAGACCCATCTGCATGTGGCAGGCCTCTGTGTTGTTCCTTCAGCCTATAAAGACCACAGGTCTGTCTCACAAACATTTCCACACCCTATATGCTCCCCCCCTCCACTTCTCTGTGCTAACAGTGTTTTCTCTGACCCCCCACATTCCTTGACTAGTCCTGTTGAGCAGGAAATGCTTGATCACAGTACTTTAACTGGTGAGGACCTCGATATTCTGACATTTGGCAGTGATCTACCCAACCTGGGTCCTAATTTTCACAGTCCAGAGGCCCTCCTTTTGGCAGTTGACTATTTTCAGGAGTACAACATGTGGATGTCTACTACTCATCGACCTCTAACATCTTTCGATGCTTGTCATCTCCCATCTGACTCAGAACAACGTGCTTTCAAACATCAGCTGTGACAGATCAGAGATCAAGTTCTTGACAAGCAAAACTTGGTATGTAATGATGGTCAGCTAGAAGCACCCCATGACCTCGGCTTCACCTGGTCCTATCCTGATATAGACAATGAGTCTCATCAAACTGACCTGGCTGATGAGGCTCTTCCCCACCTCACACATGATGAAGATGATCCAGACCCATTCTTCATCAATGAGGAGGTGTGAGCAGACAAGGCCAACCTCGCAGAATTGCCAGACCATGTCACAGTCATTCATGCAACTATATCATGGCTTCACCTCTAATTTCATCTCCCATGTGTTGCTTGCAATGCACTACTCACTATATTCTCACTACTTCTTTTGTTCTTCAGCTCAAACTCAAGTCTTCTGTTCACAACTCTCCATTCCAGCAATCACATCCTCAGTGTCAACAAACCAGTTCACATGCTACCTGTCTGTCCAACATCTCATGATGTATATCTGCCTGCCACATCACTGCTATGTCACAATATGTGCACTTCCTGTAATGTTGATTTGTTTCTTCCAGGGAAAACCCTGTGGGGTAATGCATGCACTTTGAAGACACCTATCATCAAGTACTAGTCACAAATGGATCCAGAATGCAATCCAGCATGCACCCACTTGTATCCACTGATGGTCTGATGCTTTGACTAGGAGGCATGAATGGATCATCTGGATGGCCAGGGAGGACATTAGAGTGCCCTGATACATGCCCACTCAGACGTGCCTGAGAGTACATCTGTCTACAGCACAGAAGATGTGTTTGTATGTGCTGGATTCAGATGAGGGGGCTGGGGGAGCAGTGAACAAGGGCAGCACCCAGGGGGGGCGACCATTTTCGAAGTGCACCATGTAGTAGGCACTCTGGATATAATCTGATCTTATTATTCTGAATAGTGCAAGTGAAGACAGCAAGGATCGATGTGATGTATACAATGTGACTCATGTACATATCCTATACTCACAGTGTAATCTGCTTAGAATATAGTTGATGCATGTTGGAATTGTCATGATGATAAGTTTGCAAATCCAACCAGATTACACTTCAAAACAAGAACACCTCATGATGATTCTCAGACATATTATTAGCATTTAGTACTCTTAGGATATAGTATGGCTATGGCCTATCACCCAACTATCACCACACCTGATTAAAATCCCATCTCCACAGTGAATAGTCATAAAAAAAGTCAAAAAAAAGTCACAAAAAGGTCAAAAATAGTAAAGTGTTAATTTCCTGATGAGATGCAGTCTAGCTGGAGGTGGACACTGGGAGATTCAATGAAAGGATGTCATATTAGCTACTAGACTAGCATAGTGTACTGTATATGCACCTGGGAGATTAAATGAAAGGACAAAGAAACTCCCAGGGCCATGCAGTGAGGGTGTGTATGCTACTGAAAAAGGAAAGTCAAGTCTATGAGTGCAAGTCACTCACTTCACTAGCAGTACCATTCATCACTCCCACTCAACAAGCATTCAGTGCTCCCCCACTCCAAGTGCATTGTGGAACTTCTTGAAGGTGTCTCGAGGGAGTTGTTTGGTGAAGATGTTGGCTAGCATGTCTTTGGTGGGTATATAGTGTAGACTGACTTCCTTGCTAGCAATGCATTCTTGGATGAAATGGTGTTGGATGCCAATATGTTTTGCATGCAAGTGGTTGACCAGATTGTGTGCAAGTGCAATACACCCCTGGTTGTCAATGTGGAGCATTGTTGCTGACACCTGTTTGAACCCCATTTCTTCTAGTAGAGTTTGAAGCCAAATGGCTTCTTTTGTTGCATTCAATGCAGCCATGTACTCTGATTCAACTGTGGACAGTGCAATGGTAGGTTGTTTCTTTGATGACCATGCTACCTTGCTCCCAGCTATATCAAAGATGAACCCACCAATTGATTGCCTGGTATCTGGGTCCTTGGCCCAGTCTGAGTCTGTCCAACCAACTAGGTCAACCCTGTTGGCACCCTGGCATCCAAGGATGAGTGCAAAGTGTGCCATCCCCTTTAAGTACCTCAAGACCCACTTTATTGCTTCGAGGTGGGTCTTTCTGGGACTTGCACTGAACTGTGACAGGACTCCTATTGCATGCAGGACATCAGGCCAAGTTTGTGTGGCATATATGACAGACCCAGTTGCTTGGATGTATACAAGTCCTTTTGCATACTCTAGGTAGGCCTTTTTCTCTTCTGTTATTTGTGGGCTTTGTGTGGCTGACAGGCATTCACACATGTTGAGTGGAGTTGATACAGGGTTTAAATTATGCATTCTGAAGCATTTGAGGACATCATTAATATACACATTTTGATTCAGGGAGATAGTGCACACCATGTGGTCTCATTTGACCTGGATACCTAGGATATAATGAAGTTCCCCTAGATCAGTTATTTCCACATGTTGTGCAAGATCCTTCTTAAAAAATTTGAATGTGTGTACAGTCCTTTCCTGTGACTGCCATGTCATCAACATAGGCCAGGACCAGCAGCACAACATTGCCATTGTCACACACCAAAGGTGTTTGGTGAGGTGGACATGGATACAGCTGATGAATGGAGATGAAGACCATAGCCCTCATGTGAAGAAGGACAGCCAGAAATGTTGGCAGTCATCCCTCACACAAGAATGAGTCATCAGTGCCAAAGAGAAAGAAAGGGAGCAAGTTAGGCACTGGTTAAAATTCTTAAGTGCCTGTGTATGGCATTCTGGTTTTTGACATATCTCCACTGTCTCTGCAGATACCAAGACCATTCCCACACTTGCTTGTAGTGCTCAGCCACATGATCCTACCTTCCAAAATTGGATGTGGGGTTGGAAGGGGTCATTGGTGACACTTTCTGTTCAGGTTTGAAGCATTTTTCTGGTGCAAAGTCAGATGATTCAGTTGATGTGGGTGAGGGGGGTGGTGATGACAGTGGTGATGAGTCATTTGAGGCAGGTTCTTCTTTTGCTGCTGCCTTGGGCATCTCAAGCCTCTTATTAATCTCCTCCACAGATGGCTTGAACAGATCATCAGGTGGCCATCATGGTTCACTGCCCTCAATTACTGCCAGGTCATCTGGCTTCATGTCCTCAATGAAGCAGACATCTCATGTCATGATTAATTTCCCTGTTTCAACTTCTTCTAGTCTATACCCCTTTGTTTCATCTGCCCACCAACCCAGTAGGCAGCACTTGATGGATGTAGGTTCTAGTGTCGCAAATTTATTTGGTCCATTGTCATGTGCCCCCATTGTAAGCAGCATGTAATGGACCACTTGCCATTATAATGGTCAGGTTTGGCTAGATTATAGCAAATATGTAATATTTTATCTAAGATATAGTGCAAATGTGTAAAATATTATGTACAAATACCCATTTTTGGCAATCTTTCAATGACACATGGGTGGCATTGGCATGGCTTATAACAGAAGTGTGAACAGCCACCCTTAACATGTATTATAAGGTTCTTATCACATGCCCAAGAAATTTGCAACAAGCTTTTCCCCATGAACTTTCTTCAGAATATTTGCATAAGCAGTTGAGCCAAAAATGCATAGGTGGGATATGTCTGGTTTGTGGCCACCCCAGGCATGGATTGGGACAGTTTCTTGTAGTGCTGATGTGGGCAAGAGGTTGCAGATATGTACTGCATATATAAATGCTTCTCCCCAACACCATAGGTCCATCCTGGCAGAGTGCAGCATGCATCTCACCATTTCAAAGTAGGTCTTGATGCTTCATTCAGCAATCCCATTCTGTTCCAGGGCATAGGGCACTGTGGTCTCATGTAGGATACCATTTCATCAACAGAAGGATTCTACTACTGAGTTGACAAACTCAGTCCCATTGTCTGAGCACATTTTCTTCAGTTTTAAGCCTGACTGCCTCTCTAACATTGCAACTACTTCCTTCAAGGCACTTGCAACCTCCTCCTTTTTCTCAAGGAGCCATCCTACTCTGAATTGGCAACTAGCTTCAATGATCACCATGGCATAAGCATGCCTTGTCCAAGTCTCAACTGACATAGGACCTGTGATATCCATGACAACTAGTTCCATTTTCAAGTAGACAGTGTTGCTGACCTTAGGGAATGGTAGCCAGTGCGATTTGCTGAGGACACAACCCTTGCAAACATGGTCAAAGTCCTTGGGTGATGTGATATCGAGTCCATTGACAAGGTTCTTCCATGCCATGGTTCAAATAGCATCTAGGTGCAGGTGGCCCAGCTGACAGTGCCAAACCCACATGCTCCCACTGGCAATGGCAGCAAATGTCACCTCATGATCTATCATGTCAACATGGTAGAGTGTTGCAGTGGAGGTTGGGAACAATGCATGGAGTAATTCATCTCCCCCAAGGGTTACAGTAATTCCTTCCTCATGGCTGTGGTGCCTGGCTCCTGCCCACTGTAAGGTCCCCAAGCTGACCAGGTTCACAGCAAGCTGTGGTACATGCAGCACACCATGCAGGATGATGGTCCTGATCCTGTCAGGTAGTCTACACTTCAGTTCGACTGACCCTTTCCCAGTGACAGGTATGTCTCTTGCATCCCCAATGGAAATAGTCTCATCCAATTTGTTGGCAGTAAATGATTGGAAGTATTTTTGGTCACAGAACATGTGCACTGATGCACCACAATCCAACAGCACCTCTGCAGGGGCAGCTGTAGGGCTGCTCGACACCATGTATATCTGTCCGACTTCTCGAGTCCCTAATTCCCAAAGGTTTCCAACAGTGAGGTTTGATTTCTCTTCATTTCCTCACTTGGCTTTCTCATCCTCCTCATGGTGTGGGCATTTACTAGCCCAATGGCCAGTGGCCCTGCAGTAGCAACATATGTCGTCAGGCTGGGGACCCTTTCCTTTTCCCTTCTTCAACTTTTTACCACCACTCACATGCAGTGCAGTCTCAGTCCCTGACTTTTCCTGTGTGCATCAGTTGGCCTCTGCCTGGAGCTTCATGCTGACAATCTTGGAGGTGAGCATATCTAGCCCAAACAGTTGAATCTTTATCAGCTCCCATGTTGGAGTCTTGGGGAGTGATAGTATGAGTGCACGTATGATGTGGAGGTCTGGGAGTTCCTCATCAGTAGCTGTGATGCAGTTCCAAATATCCAGCATCTTTGCTATGTGGTTGGCCATTGGTGTTCCATCAACATACTTCTTGATGTAGAGTTCTTCAAAGAAGTAATGAACATTTATCTTTTGTTGATTGTTGACATGAATTTTTTCCCAGGTGTCCCACATTTCTCTGGCACTGCAGCACTCCCTGACATGTGGCCACTGCGACGGCTCTGCCACACCCTTCATAAAACCCTGTGCCACCTCATCTCAGAGACACCAGTCGAGGTACTCCTTCCTCACTGCTCTAAACTCTGTTGCAGTCATGGTAAGTGGCTGCACTTCGGGTGGTTCAGATGGGCATAGTTTTCTTCCATCTGTGATAAGCCATAGGTACTTTGACTGTAGAATGGATTTCATGTTGACGGCCCACTCTGCATAGTTTGAACCAGACAGTTTGGTAAAACAGAACAAGTTGGCTGAGGTTGAAGTTGACATGGTTATAAAGTCACTGGTGGGGCTCATAACCTCACAGCAGACACAGTCTAGCTGGAGGTGGACACTGGGAGATTCAACGAAAGGACGTCATATTAGCTACTAGACTAGCATAGTGTACTGTATACGCACCTGGGAGATTCAACGAAAGGACGAAGAAACTCCCAGGGCCGCGCGGTGAGGGCGTGTATGCTACTGAAAAAGGAAAGTCATGTCTATGAGCGCGAGTCGCTCACGTCACTAGCAGTACCATTCGTCACATGACAGGCTGGCCGAACACCGCGAGGAGAAGATTTTAACGACCATCGCTCGTGATCTGGCAGATCGTGACTCGGCGTTTCGGCGAGCACTTGCTGATGTCGTCTCAAAAGACCATTCTCTCGAAGCGACGCGAGACGCGACGCAGCAGTGGCAGCGACTCATCTTGGAACCGCTGTCCAAGGTTAATAGAGAAATCGTTGGGAATGTAGTCGTGGTGATCGACGCATTAGATGAAAGCGGGACGGACGCATCAAGGAGTCGTATCCTGTCCCTTCTTGCGTCTGAGGAAGCCGCACATCTGCTGGCTAATTTCCGCATTGTTCTGACATCCAGGCTGTTGCCGGATATCGAGGAAGCCTTCAACGATTGCCAACATGTAACAGTAACTTCTCTTGATGGGGTCCCCCTGGCGTCTGCTAAGCGTGATATCCATCTATTCATTTCTAACGAACTCTGTCACCGCCGCTTCAAGGATACCATTGGGCCCAAGGAGATAGATCAGATTACTCAGAAATCTGACGGCCTGTTTCAATCGGCCAGGTTGGCTTGTGAGTTCATCAAGCGGAAAAGCGCCGGACGAACTCTGCGGGAGCGCTTCGACGATATAATTGCTCTTCGGTTTGGAGAGGGGGACACTTTTGGACAAAACTTACACCATGATATTGGAGAGTGCCATACCACCGACAAACCGGATATCACTGGCTCGGTTCCGTTCCGTGATGCGACAAATACTGACAACATTGGTGCCGCTGCCTATGTCGACTTTGCAATTCATGCGCAAGCACTTTCCCAACGAGGAGGACCACTATGATGTTGTTGTCATCCTGGAGTTCATGGCACCAGTGTTGAGTGGCATCACTGACTCTTCCCCCATTTGCCCTCTCCATGCATCTTTTCCTGACTTCCTGACGGATCAGTCACGGAGTGGGAACTACTTCATCGACACCTCTGGGGCATATGACCTAGCCTTCGCCTCGCTGCAGATTCTGTGTAAGGAGCTGCAATTCAACATTTGCGGACTAGAAAGCTCCTACTTCAGCAACTCTGAAGTCCCTGATCTACAACAACAAATAGACAAATTCATCACATGCCATCTATCCTATCCGTGTCAATTCTGGGCCCAACATCTGCAGACGACTACCTTTGACTTGGATCTTGCAAAGTTAGTGGCAATTATTGTGGGGAGTGCAAAAATTCTGTTCTGGCTGGAGACTCTGAGCATTATTGGGGAGTTGGGAAAAGCTGTGGATGCTCTGATCTGCACTGCAACATGGCTACTAGTGAGTAATCTACACTTGGATTCACATAACATGCCCTAACATCAAATCAAAAGGACCAGCCAGGGTTTGAAGATACATTAGGAATGGTACAAGATGGGATCAAGTTGATTTGGAACTTTGGTGGTGCAATCTCACACAGTGCTCCACATCTCTACATTTCTGCATTGCCATTCACTCCTTCAAACACAAGACTGTCAAAAATTCTCTTGCCAAAATTCTGCCAACTTCTTGGAGTTCCTGTGGGAGGGCTAAAGGAGTGGACAGCTACCCAGCTAGCCTTAGACCATGCCAGTGTGGTTACTTCAGTTGCATTCTCCCCTGATGGCAAGAGGATTGTCTCAGGGTCACATGACAACACCCTGAGGATCTGGGATGCTGAGGGAGGTGTGCAGATTGGCAGCCCTCTTGAGGGGCATACTGATTGGATCCAGTTGGTTGCATTCTCTCCTGATGGCAAGAGAGTTGTCTCAGGGTCAAGTGACACAACTGTGAGAGTTTGGGATACTGAGAGGGGTATGCAGATTGACAGCCCTCTTCATGGGCACACTGGTCTGGTCAGATCAGTTGTATTCTCCTCTGATGGCAAGAGGATTGTCTCAGGGTCAGAAGACAAGACTGTGAGGATCTGGCATGCTGAGAGGGGTGTGCAGATTGGCAGCCCTCTTGAGGGGCATACTGGTAAGGTCTGGTCAGTTACATTCTCCCCTGATGGCAAGAGGATAGTCTCTGGGTCACATGACAAGACTGTGAGGATTTGGGATGCTGAGGGAGGTGTGCAGATTGGCAGCCCACTTGAGGGGCATGTTGATTGGGTCCTATCAATTGCATTCTCCCCTGATGGCAAGAGGATTGTCTCAGGGTCAAAAGATAAGACTGAGGGTCTGGGATGCTGGAAGGGGTGTGCAGGATGGCAGCCCACTTCAGGGACATACTGATTGTGTCCAGTCAGTTGCATTCTCCTCTGACAGCAAGAGGATTGTCTCAGGATCATGTGATGATACTGTGAGGATCTGGGATGCTGAGAGAGGTGTGCAGATTGGTAGCCCCCTTCAAGGGCATGGTGATATGGTCTGTTCAGTTGGATTCTCCCCTGATGGCAAGAGGATTGTCTCAGGGTCAGATGATTACACTGTGAGGATCTGGGATGCTGAGGGATGTAGGCAGGTTGGAACCCTTGTTCAGGGACATGCTGGTGTCATCTGCTCCATTGCACTCTCCCCTGATGGCAAGAGGATTGTCTCTGGGTCACATGACAAGACTGTAAGGATTTGGGATGCTGAGAGAGGTGTGCAGATTGGCAGCCCACTTGAGGGGCATGTTGATGCTGTCTGGTCAGTTGCATTCTCCCCTGATCAGCAGAAGATTGTCTCAGGGTCAGATGACAAGAGGGTGAGAATTTGGGATGCTAAGGAAGGGGTTCAGATCTACTGTCTTCCCCAGGGGCATACTGGTGCAGTGAGCACAATTGCATTCTCCCCTGATGGAAAGAAAGTTATCTCAGGATCATTTGACTATACCATGAGGGTATGGGATACCCAAATATATGAGGATATGATCACCAGCCATCAAAAGATGAAGTTGTCTGCATACTATCCAGAAGGTGAGAACTACATAGCTGTTATGTATTGTATTGTTACTCAAGTAATTTCAAGGCTTTAAAACCCACCCCATTTGCTCTTCTTCAGTGCCTTCACATGCACTGCATGACAGTGAACAACTCCTTGATGGGTTCCAACCTGCAGATGTTGATGGTTGGCTTGAGCCAGTCAAGCTTCATCCTGATGGATGGTTCAGGCATCCAAAGGGAGGGCTGCTGCTTTGGTTGCCACCATCATTTTGGGCACCATTTTATTCAAGTTGCAACAAAGTTGTGATCCCAAGTGATTGTTGTACAGAGCTGGACTTGGGCTACATGGTTCATGGAGATAAGTGGCACAAGTGTCTGAAGACAGATGCCTGAATATACAGCCTAGATACATTGTATTGTTTTAAAAAATTCCCTTGAAGCTTGTATATTCATTGTTTCAATAGCCTTTTCACTCAATAAGCACTTGTCCAATCTTCAGGGACAGAATATCTTGTGCAACAAAAATGGATCTTAAAATGATTTCAGTGGTATATCATTCAAGGTTTGCAGACAGCATAGAGAACACCTGCAATAGCAGCTCTGCACATTTCAGGGGGCCAGCCATTCACCATTACCCCACCACATAGTTAATGATGTTCATAGCCAAGCCATGGAAATGAGTACAAGCAGGAATGATCAGGAGTCAGCCTAAGGTGATACTCAGCCACTCAAAAATGTCAACTACTGATAAGGGAGAAAGAATTGGTGACACAATGCAAAAGAAACCAAACAGAAAGGGTTCCTTGGTGATGGCAGGCAGCCATGCAGATGCTTGTGCATGTTTGATGTGCTGCATTTGTATTTGATGGGCATTCTCCCCACAAGATGATATCCTGAGGAATGATCACATGTATCTAAGGTAGGTGACAAATGAGTTATATCCTCCAAGGGCACCAGAGATCATGAGACGAGTGTATAAGCCACTGTTTGTAAGATTCACAAGAATTAGATCATTCGATCAACAGACGGTGGAAGAGCAATCAAACTCTAGGATTCGGGCCTCCTGACATTGGATTCAAAGGGAGCTAGTGCGTAAGTCAGGACAGAGATGCGGCTATACTACTCAACTTTCATACCTTCTGGATGCTGAAGTTGAACGTTAAATGAAATGCCGCCGGTCGGCATTCTCTGGCCGAGGCTTGGTGCGGCATGGAATCACCATTTGGCTATTAAAGATTAAACGCTAGGGACGGCCCAAAGCGTCCTCCTCACGGAAAGTTCTCGCCGAAATATACAAACGAACTTCAAAAACGCGACCCTCCCCTTCGCCCTCGCATTGTCACGGCCGATGATGACCGTATATGCAGAATTCGACCCACCTGTCGATGTGCTGAACTTGAGTGTGGACCACAGACATGAAGATGTCACTCGATCTTTGCCTCAACTAGTACTATGTACTTACTTGTTTAACGTTTGCTTTTGTCAGCCAGGTTGTCACCGGGATCACATGCAAAAAAAATGATACTGCTTACTACTACTGTTCTCGTGCCGGCGGTAGCGAGTAATCTCTTTCTTTCTTTCATTTGCGAATGTCGCATTGCCTATTCCAACGGAACCGATGTCATGGAACTCACGGTCCCAATGGCCTATCGCCCTCGGTCCCTTGGTGACATGCTGCGATACAAGGTTAAGATGGCAATTCGACTTCCTGACCTTGGTGGGTCCGAGACGATGGATCACGGATATTGCTTCAAACACGATTCCACGCCGAGAACGTGAGCTCGTCTCGCTATGAGTTGGCAATGGCATTCCGGGATTAGGAACCCGCACGGAAATGTGAACTGGGCAAGGATGTGCATCCGCACCATTGTTCGCAGACGCCCAAAAAGGAAACTGCTGTGTTGGGTTGAAGCACCCTATCAACGCCCGGATCCCCGACACATAAAAAGATCCTTGTTTTCTTTTTACCACCCCTTGCTGCATTCCCCCCACCTCCATCCCACTCTTTTTCGTCTCTCTTTCTTACAATGAGACCTTCTCTCGTTTTGGCTTTCGTCATTTCCTTCTTTTTTACTGTCGGGGCCAGTGCAGAATCGCATACCATCAAATTTGTCAATCAGTGCGTTGCGTGTCTGCAACGACTCACTCTTCGCTGACATTTTATATCTCAGGTGTGGTTATGGTACAGTAAGTGTGCTTAGAACGAGTTGACTACGCCCACATAGCGTTATCACTTGCCTTCAGCCAGCTTTGGTACTCAATGGCAACAACGTCCTCAGTGGCGACCAGTACACGAGTAGCGGTCCGTTCTCAGGCATCGCGTGAGTACCCTCGCATTGCACATTACACCTGCATGGAACTCAATTATTTTCTCAGATATTTGCAGACAGGTGAGGAATACACGCCGCCGTCGTAATCTCCGCGGCTGAGCATGCCAACAGGCTACTGCAATACCAACGGAGAAAACTGCACGCTCGTCGAAATGACCCTGATAAACCCAACATGTGCGGGATGTGGTTCTAGCGCCGACATTTCCTTGATAGCTCCGTGAGTACAGTCAGGTTTACATTGCATCTTACGTTGACATTTGTTGACGAATTTCATTATAGCCATGCCTACAGTGTCGAGTCGTCCTTCTCGTGAGCACACATAAAGCTATCATCTGTTTTACGGTGTTCTGAAAGTACTACTTAGGTATTACAGCGGCTGTGATGGCGTTGGTCAAACCTGTGCGTTTACGGTCGTTCACGCGTATTAAACCCTTCGTTATGTAACCTCCATCCAGGCGCAAGTCCAAACTGCACCCAGAATGCTTTTTTCGTGCCCACTGACAACTTTGTGCAAAAGGAATGTCAAGCTACCGATGTGAGCGATTGATCCATTTGCAGTGTTGTATGGACATTTTGGTTTGACAACGCCCTCTAGGTGGACCTCCTGATATCGTTTTGTGTGGAAGCTTCCGGTTTAGTTGGCGGGTCGAGCTCAGCCTCTTCCACTACTCCGAATGCACCAACATCGACTGTCGCGAGCTGCAACGCCGAAATCGCAGCCAACTCCCACGCCAAGCCCATCAACTACCAGTCATTCCTCTACCACAATTTCTTCGACACCGAAGTCCACCCCTACGGCAATCTCTGCGGCCTCCACGGGACAACAATGTACCGCGGGTTCTAGGCGCAAGCGTCAGGTCAAACGCGGTCCGGAAAGCGCTCGTCGCCGCCGCCACGCCAAGAGCTCGCCTCACCAAGCATGACTTCTTCGTAGCGGTTATTGATAACTGTTATGCGAAGCTGGCGCTCGCCCTATTATGATTGTCGACTCGCAGTTTTTAACCCTCTAGATTTTAGTGCACGTCCAGTTCCGGCTCTCTTCTATGTTGTACTCTATACTATTGGCCACGCGAGCAGTCGTGCCACAGAAGGTCACAGGTGACCGTCTCCATTCATTGTAGCATTCTTGTCCACGAGGCTGCTGACCCTTGACGGGTTTCGCTCTGTAGCTCCATACCATGTTTTACGTACATCACGTATTGTTTGATACATAGAATCATGTACACGATGGCTACAAGTAACGTCGTTTCATAGAATGCAAGTAGCCGTTCTTGTTGTTCGAAGTCATACGGGCCTGCATCTACCACCGGAGAATTGCATCAGTTCTGCGCACAGCCTGGCGAGAATACCTGCTTGAGGTACACCCTGCCTTCGTAGCCTCTGAGATTCAACCTCCTACCACCATCATCCCTGCTGGCTCCGTAATTTCTAAGAATTGACCGACAGGCATCTAGGTCCCCCAGCCTCGCAGGGTCAATCTCAGCCTCATTCACGCCGAAGTTCATCACCACAATCGCCTCGGAATCTCCCAAAACCCGGGTATATGCAAACACCTGCTGGTGTTCTGGTAACTTGAGTTCGAAACTTCCATAGACCTGGAATGGGCGATGTCAATGGCGGCCCGGGAGCAGATAACACCGGCGTATGCATAAGGTAGTGAAGAGCCATGTGTTTTGGGGGTGAATCGTAGCGTATGCAGCGCTTCTAGGGCCCAGTCGACTCACCAAGACATCGTGCTGCCTCCGTACCTCAATCGCGTGTTTCCAGAACGCGTAGACGCTGTCTGGGTCCTGAAGTTGCGCCGCTGCGTTCCAATTGGCATAGTCGTCGTTGACGCGCATCCAAGGTTCTCCTGTGGTGAACCCTCCATTGGGTGAGCTGTCCCACTAAGAATGCCCCAGAAAGCAAGTGAGCATCGAGCAGAGGAAACAGCAGTGACGGAGTTAATGAATAAGTGTCGGAGCTGAGCGGGTACTTGCCTGCATAGGTGTGCGTGCGTGGTCGCGGGCTTTCTGCTGGAAATGGTCGAGCAAGTCAGACATGTCAACATCCTCCCTCCCCTCTGCCTTTTGCCGTTGCACCCTGACCCTGGTGTGAACGTGAATACACAAAGCTAACCCCTTTTGTGCGTGGGCGCACTCAGGATACAAATACTAACAGGTTATAATAGTTTTGAGACGCGACGTCCTTGTATTCCTCAAGTCCCCAGCTACGCGGAAAGTTCCTGAGACCGAGTTCTTGGCCTTGGTAGATGTACAATGTACCCGTTAGTGTCACCTCGAGGATGCAGAGCATTTTAGCGGAGATGGCCCGCCACTCATTAGAGTCATTCCCGAAACGCGAGACTGAGCGGGCGTGGTCGTGGTTCTCAATAAACACCCTATGCAATCCACAATAGCATAGAGAGGGATTACGGCACAACGCCATTGTCAGTTTCAAGAATCACCGCAGGGGCAAAGAGTTGCACAATAACTCCAATCCGTGCAATGTCTGAACCCCGCCGCAGAACCCCTCGCCTAACACTGTTCCTCAAGAACTAGGGTACTCGGAGGAAGTGGAGAGGATCCCACCAACGATCAGAGGCAGACACAAGCACGGAAACATGCGTATGGTGTGAAATACTCACGTATTCCAATATCCTTCGTCTCGCTTGAACTGTTGCCACCGTCTAATCACGTCCTTGAACTCCGCAAGCGTCCAGGCCTTGCGCACGAGTGGGGAGTAATCCGGCGAATCGAGGTCCATCAGTTCGAAGTTGAACACCATGTTGAGCTCCTTGTTTTGGGGGAGAACGTACGCCGCCAGCTGTGAGGCGTCATGGGTGAATGGCGTCTCTCCAACGGTGATGAGGTCGTATTCTATCAGAACCACGTGGAACACAGCTTGGGGCAAAAAAAGGAAGGCGATGTCAAAGTAACGTACTAGAAAGTACTTCTGCATGCATTTGCTTGATGTACTCATGGACACGCGGACTATTAAGCGTTTAATAAAGCGGTCGCAAAAGCGTTGGTCATGTCCGTCAAGCAAAAAAGGCTCACCCGTTGGCGAAGTGCATACTTGCAGACTGATAGTACTGACTAGTATCCACCACCAGCGCGTCTGGCAGACCCTCCACCTTGGAAATGATGTTGATTACGTCCATCTACAAGCCAAGTAGGAAAGCCTCACTGTCGCAGGGTATGAATTCACGTACCCGAAAACCATCACACCCTCGATTGATCCAAAATCGCATGACATCCCAGACGGCATCACGTACATCGGGGTTGTCCCAATTGAGATCTGGCTGCTTACTTACATACAGGTGGAGATAGTACTCCTTCGTATTTTCGTCGTAGTCCCACGCGGAACCTGGAGTGGCGCGATGGGGACTTCTGTTTTCGCATGCTATAAATGGCGATTATTCCTTACCTTGAAACACGGACTTCCAGTTGTTTGGTGGCAATCGCTTTCCGTCTACTTGTTTTCCTGGGCGCCAGATGTACCAATCTCGTTTTGGGTTGTCCTTTCCCAGACTTGGACTGAAGGAACCACTCGTGCTGTATCATGTGAGTTGCGATGATCAGTATCGGGTAAGAGCAGCCACACCTCATCCGATGTGTGATTGACCTACGAGATCCATCCTGCAAGGGGGATACTCAGTTTAGGGTGCATGCACGAAAATAAGATTTAATATATGAAAGAAAACTGGTGTGAAAGAGGAAAAGCGGTGACCTAACATTAGCTTCATCCCACGTTGATGGGCTCCCTGGAGTAAGTTGTCCCAATCCTCCAATGTACCGTATCTCGGATCGATGTTGCGATAGTCCGAACTGCGCAGCACGGGGTAATTCGGGCCCAAAGGAACATGTTTCAACATTGTACAGCTTGGATCGACTGAAATATAACATACATGTCATACCCCATATCAGCCAGGGGAGAGCAGTAGATGGGTGATAGCCAGACGACGTCGACACCGAGGTCCTTCAAGTAATCGAGCTTCGCATGGATGCCGTTCAAATCCCCAATGCCGTCCCCGTTGGAATCAAAGAACGATGTTGGGTATATCTGGTAGATGATGGCTGACTTCCACCATGCACGCGGGGAGGGTGGATCCGGATGAGCCAGCATGCTCACTTCTGAGTGGGGATTGGGAGATGGCTGTGAGGAGGTAAAAAGGTGAAAGAAGACCTCGAGGCGAATTGATCAGGTTTATCGGGGCATTAGAAGACTGGGGCACCGGAAAGATGCGTTGGCAATCCATCTAGCGTGCCACGTCGCGAGCCGAGTAGAGAAGGCCATTGAATCAATTTCTGAGTGCATTATGAACCCTGTTTATGATGACCCCTGCGTCTCCAAGTTCTCGCTCGCGTTTGAGTATCCAGCCCAGCCGGGGGGGACTCGAGGGCACTGATCGAAGGCGGTCCAGGCTTGGGGGCCAAAAGTAAAACAACTTTGATTTAGAAAACGAGGGTCCTTTCATATCGAAATTTAATCAGCTGGATCGAGGACCACGATGGCAACTGGACCGTCGAGCACCCGTTCCACCCCACCCACACCCTGGCAGGTGACGCGGTGACCCTCTGACGCCTGCTGTCAATTAAAGGATCTGGCCAACCCCAATGAACGCTCGGACCGGTTCGTGTCGATGACAGTTCTGGTCTAGTTGTTCGACGGTGCATGGTCCGCTCCGATGAGAGCCTGAACTTGGAAACGGCCTCGTTGTCGTTTGACAACCACACTGCTGTGGGCCACGCGCGTCCGCTGAACCTACGAGCACGGCGATAATAGCCAGGATTGTGGCTGGCCTGGGCTTGGACAGGGCGATGATTAGCTGCGTGGCAGTGTGGGTTCGTCCCCCTTGTTTCACTCCCCTGGACAGAACGGTACAGCAGGTCGATCGCCTCACTCCAACCATGCCAGGTCATAACGGTAGCTCTACGAAATTCGTTCTTTGTATTAAAACCACATGGCTGAACAGGAGACGCCTTGCTAGAATACTTAAAGTGCTCAGCAATCAAGACTGCTTCTTCGTCAACCCAGACACCCATCCAATCCACACAGCTTCCTTCTAACTCGCTGTTCTAAAAACTAGGATGCAGACCATCTCCCCCATCGCCATAACCTTCGTTGACGGCTGCGAGCGTCCTCGAGGTCGCTGCTCTCTTTCTTCCATCTGCTCGCCGTGCCTCCCACGGCCAATCCCAAACTCTTACTGGGCCACACCTCTTCTGCTCGCTTGCGAATACCCCTGGTCTCCATTCGAAAGGTCCACCGTGCAGAAGCTTGACAAGCTTCTAGCAGCCGGTGTCCGCACCTTCATCGATCTCACCGAATGTGGTGAACTCTCCCCATACTACCCTCACCTCCCCGCTCTAGTCAGCGCACACGGCATCGACATCTCGGAAATCGAGTACCACCAATTCCCGATCCATGACCGATCCCTACCCGAGTCTAAGGAGTATATGTTCCACATCCTTGGCGTCCTCCGGGACAACCAGAAACGGGGTCCGCATCTCTGCTGTGCACTGTCGCGGAGGTATTGGGAGAACCGGCATGGTTGTCGGCTGCTGGCTGGTCGAGTCTGAGACGGCGAAGAGCGGGGAGGAAGCTCTCCGTATAGTCGCCGATAAATGGAAGACAGTGGAGAAGTGCAAGCGGTACCCAAACAGCCCAGAGACTGGCCCCCAGTTCGAATTTGTCAAAAACTTCCGCCCTCGCATGGATATGGAAGTCGCATGAGCGATGTCTCGCGCATAGTCTTGCTCTGTTTCTGTGAGTAGTCTATTCGATTTCACTTGTCACTTCACACTAACTTTTCACGCCTAGTCTTCCATGGATTATTCTTTGGGACCCCTCGATGCAGTCAATGTAAAACATTGCATCTACGCAGGGATTAGATCTAGTTCAACTTCTTTGGGACGATGGGCGCACAGTAGTATACCCTGCGGATGCTTTGGATACATGTCTACGGACAAATACCTACATACCACAATGATACCCGCTGTTTCCACAACGACCGATAGTCCGACGCGTCCGAAGTGATCTACGGTGGCTCTGTGAAATGATCCCAACAATTTGATGGTCAACAACATCATAAACACAGCTCACACAACAATGTCTGGCATCATGTAACTTAAGAGAGTACGAACGGTCTCGGCGAATTATCTCTTATCGCTTCTGCTTGCTATGGTGTACGAGTTGCGCGAACAGCCCTGGTTCGGACTCTACGTCTCGTATCAAATTGTGACGACAACACTTTTTCGTCTGCCCTACTGGTATCTTCTCTCCTACCCACGGTCATGGCGGCCGCGGGCATCCTGGACGAAACAACGTTCAGTTCTCGTGAGGTTTTTCCGACACCTGTTTGATATAACCCAGAAGTGCGCATTTCCCTTTGGCGACAATGTGAACGATCAACGGTTGACGAGACGGTAACCGCAGAACCGGCCCACTTACGTCTTTCCCTACACATCGCGCGATCCGACCAGGGCCGGGCGTGAAAGGGGTGTGGGTCGAAGCTACTCCCCATCTCATTACCGGTGTGCTATTGTCGATGGCCACAGCAGCTAACGTCAGTTGCGCCTACATACCAGGCTATTGGATCGATAATGATGAAACGTTGCCTGCTGGAGCGCCCCCACGCCCCGGCGAAAAGATCCTTTACCGACTTCACGGAGGAGGCTATATCCAACTTTCTGCACATCCCACGGACCCCACCGCAAATATCGCTCATGGCATCCTGAAACACTCATTGTCTATCACCCGAATATTTTCCATCGAATACAGGTTATCAACTTCGGAACCCTATAAGCCGGAACATCCATTTCCTGCTGCCTTACTGGATGCAATTGCGGGCTACAATTACCTTGTTAACGAGATTGGCTTCGACTCTTCCGACATTATCATTCAGGGTGACTCGGCCGGCGGAAACTTGGCACTGGCTCTTATTCGATATATCCGGGACCACCAACAACACCATCCTGATCTCCGACTTCCACGGCTACCAGCAGGACTTTTACTCCTTTCTCCATGGACGGATCTTGGCCGCTCTCACGAGGGGCCGAATACATCGCTCTCCAACTTTTACTCGTGCGATTATACCAGTGCTCGTGTAGTGCAACGTTTTTCCTACTCCAAACGTGCATTCCTGGGCCCGTTTGGACTCGGCTTCGCCGAACGGTGTGTCTATATTTCTCCTGCATCCCTTAACTCGTGGGTAGGAGCACGATTCGAGGGTTTTCCGAGGACTTTAATATGTTCTGGCGGCGCTGAGCCATTGCTGGACTCCATCCGATCGCTACTGTGGAAGATGGAAAGGGATATGGGCTTGGGCGCAGGTGAAGGACAAGTCAGTTACTACGAAGCTAAGGACTCGTTGCACGATCACCTCATATTCCCTTGGCACGAACCGGAGAATGGGGAGACACTAACAGTCATCGCAGATTGGGTCGACCATGGCTGGCGGGACTCTAGAGGTGTGCTTTCTCCCGAAATTTTTCCGATCGTTCTAACCAAGCATTCTCAGTGTAGCCGGGTATATGATCCCTGGTAGCGCAATACGTACCGCCCGAACCGTGAGAATCTGAGCCACTCTGTAGTGGGAATTTTCCCATCACTTAGTACCACTTGCCATTTTCGAAGCTTCTTTTGCGGGGTATCAAGCTCTTCAAGTTTTGTTGGCGATCGCTAAGTGATTCCTCACCTTCGCCCACTCGTGGAAGTCATCGCAAAACCAGGTGGCTATGCACCTGCATTTCCGCACCAGCGTTTTTGCAGCGCACAACATCGGGACCAATGTTTAGGCAATGTGCATAGGTACCATTTAATTCGTCGTTCCATTTAGAATCTTGATTTTTCAGAAACACCTCGGAACAGCTTCTTGCCTGACTGAGCTTTGAGATCGAGAATATCGAATGGAACAGGATCACCTGTGCACTATTAAGAAACTCAAACTTATGGTGAACTTTCCTATTTTGGATCTCACTAGAACGGCGTGTTCTGGGGGCTGTCCGCCTGGCACAACATGTAACATACAGCTCCATGCAATGCACATACAACGTTTCTTGTTACCGGGACTAAGGTGTGTAAGTTCTACGTACATCACAAGACGACCCTCCTCCCTAGTTGCAACTGGTGCACATCCTGATCTTTCGGCCTCCTTTTTCTGCTTTCTTGCAGGGTCTAGATCGCTATCGTGCACTTGTAGGTCATAAGGAAGCACCGTTATAGAGATGGGTCTCATTATATCCACGATTGCTGGGTGCTGGAGTGTGGATGGTGACCACGTCTTTACGTCAGGCAGAAGTCCTCGCAAAAGGTAGGAGTGAATGTTAGACTCGCGTTTCTCCAGGGAAAACACCGGTTTCTACTGAACCATTCCGCCAGAAGGACACCCAAACAAGGATTGCGAGGATCGGGCAGAATCTTGTTTTATGAGAAAGGGAAGCCATACTACGAGTTTACCAACTTCTCACCGCACGATGTGGTATACAAGGGAAAGCGATACCCCACGAGCGAGCACCTATTCCAGGCATTCAAGGTGGTTGTCATCTGGGACAAATCCATCCTCTCAGCTGCTCACGTATAGTATGGTGGTAGTTCATCGATGCCCACCCACATATTGCAGAACGCATTCGCACTTGCAGCGAAAAGCCCGTGGTGGCGTTCGACGAAGCTCACAAGTACCAGGGTTTAGTGAGAGCAGACTGGTCACACGTCCACATTGACAAGGTATTGTATGCAGGGCTGCTTTTTTTTGAGCCATGTATTTCATGGAACGAATCCCGTGACCATCTTCATAGATGGAAACGGCACTCAGGCTCAAGTTCACGCAGCACGTCGATCTCAAAAGGTTACTCTTAGGTACCAGAAGTGCTGAACTGATCGAGGTAGGCTCCGCTCCTGCCACCTCCACAGAGATGACTGACTAACCATGGCAGGATTCGCCCCGAGACTGGTTCTGGGGGGTTGGAGCAGATGGCACTGGTAGAAACGAGCTAGGGAAAGCCCTCATGCGACTTCGTGATGAACTCAGTATGGAGTCATTGTGTGCCACTAAGCTTGACCCTTATGTTTGGTCCTACCCCTGCAGGACGCAAGGCTTCCAACAAGAGCCCCCATCGTAAAACCACTAGACGTGCAGGGCTGCGGACTTGAAAGGCATAATTCACACTCGACCCTGCACAGATCAAAGGCATTAAATGCACGACTATAGCCGGATCTTTGTCACTCAAGCGGCCATGAAGAGGTCTGATCAGTGCAACGTGAATGAACGTGTGGGAAGGACAGGTCTTGATCACTTTCCATCTGTATTATCTATTTTCCAGTAATACCGCTAGGAACATTGGGTGTGAATATATATCGCTCGGAGGATAAAGCGAACGGCAAATGGAGTTTGGGGAGACACGGATCAAATTATGTGTGCCCCAACCAATGTAGTCATGGCCCGGTTCGGCTTGACGGGCCTGAACACGACTAAATTTGAGAGCTCGTGGCCCGAGAAATTGCGATCCGGACCGAGGGTCTTTGGACGCCCTACGTTTATGACGGCTTGGCATCAACAATTTGACTGGCAAGCTCAGCGCACTGCCAGATAATTCGAGCCACGTGAGGTAGGTGCATGAGGGGCCTTCGACTTATTTCTCGACTGAAACTGTCCTAATCTAGTAGGTGCCATGGTTCACACAATGAGCGTCACAGAGATGTTGAGAAATATCCAGTGTGCATGTACGAACTTGTTGTACTCCCCAAATCAGTAGTACTTGGACACTATAGTGGGAAACCACCAGAGAAGTTGGCCAGGTCTCGACTCTGCTGCGCCAGTATGTCAGCGTGCCAATGGGCTCCGTTCAAAAGTAGTACGTGGGCCCTTTGCAATTTTATCTTATCTTCTAATCATTGTATTAATACAGTCACCAAGAAACAGCTCAGTGACGTGGGTCTCGACATTGCAGTGTTCTGCTGGTCAGTCGAGTGAACGTTCGCGCGAACGCAAATGAATACACCAGCTCAACAGCTTGCACGTGGCTAGCTGACAAATGAGTCCAGCCTCATCAGTTGCTATTACCCAAAGAGGACGCCCGCTGAAAATCACGTTCAAGTGAACTTCAGTGAAGTTTCATTGACGTGGTTGCTGACCATGATCCCCGTCACTGACTGGCAGCGCACTGGTTGACAGTTCTTTGTGCTTGAATGAGCCCAGTTCTCATTGTGGCTTAACGAGCACGGCCCACGGTACGATGTCAATGACCTCTGTCGACCGTCTTATAAAACACAAAAGAACCACACCCCTGCCTCCAAAACGGAGGTCCTGGCCCATCTAACTAGTAAGAGCTAGTTAAGTTCCCCTCGGGTAGCCTTCCTGAGAAACGGCTACATACACGACACGACCATTATTAACAGCTCTTTCGCACTTGAGCGAGCCCCTTCATTGACCAACAAGTGTCTTAGCGAGCGCGAAAGGAGCCTTACGACGAGACACTTCCAAGCGGAGGTTGCCGTGGACTGTATTCCCTCGGATGGTTTTGCCGGGTTAGTAGTCTAGTTTGACAGCACCGGTCATCCATAAGTAATAGCCGTTGCTCCGCGAGGACAACGGAGGCACATATATTTTGCGTGCGTGTAAGCTTTTAGCCCAGCATCCTGCCCTGACGTGTATTATTGGAGCGAATCAATGGCATCGTCCGCAACCAGATTCTGATGCAAATGACGTCGTCGTAGTCGCATGGACATGTTGTCCATTGGAGGTCAGTCTCGAGTACGTCCTCGATGACTTGGGATCTGCGCGTGACTTTGACAGCGGGCGGGGATTGACTGATTTTTTTCCGCCACTATTCCCTCCTTTTGCTCCAGTTCCAAACCGCTATGCTATTAGCACCTGACTGGCTCGTCAACGTAATTGTTAATCATTTTACATTTTGTTCGCTGATCTGAGGATCTAGGATGAATATTGTCGTGGGAGATAAATTGCGGAAAAAAAATTGGCGTTGCCTTCCCGTCATACAGCACTAGCGTGCCGTTCGGACCCTCCAGATCTTGCACGTGCACTTGTTGGTCTTCAGCGAGTGACCGTACTACATAAATTCAGTGGAAAGGTGGTAAGGTCTCCCCAATATCGACCCCTCGCTTCGTGCGTTTACCCCTACAGGTTAGGCTTCCTCAAAGCATTCAGAAACCATGTCACCTAGCGCATACGTTCCGGACCATATCGGTAGATGGGTTGTGCGCAAGCCAGCCATCCTTGATGGCTGGACTTATAATCAGCTCACTTTACCTCGTGCTCAACTACCCGCCGACAAGAAGTGTTTCAATGTTCGGCCACTCGCTCCAGTCATCCAGGAGTTCCAGCAGCTCATAGAGGATGACCCGGAACTCTTCATGTACTTCCACACGATGTTTGATGAAGTCCGCCGACCAAACGGTGACCTAGATCATGTAAGTAGCTTTACTTGATGTCCAGAAGCTTTGAATAACGGTGAAATAGGTTAACGATTATAAGGAGTTAATGAAGACCCTCGACCGTATCATCACTCAGGCGCCCAAATTCGGCGGTGCCAATAACCTTGTCATGGGTGTTCCCATGTATGCTGTCCTCGCTCCGTTTTGCAACACTCCATCTGGTTACAACATCTTCACCAATCCAAAAGTGAACGCCCAACTTCACAAAATCTTCGACGTCTGGGCTGCATTCCTCGTCTCTCCCGAATCTCGTTACGTTCTTACTACGAACGAGCAATGCTGGTTTAGCCCCATTGCCATAGACGTCATGTCGGAGAGACTTGGGACGAGTTTCTATGATGCGTGGGTTTGCAGAGACAGCAACCCTCGGAATCACTACGGCTTCACGTCCTGGGACGATTTTTTTACCAGACGTTTCCGGCCTCACATGCGCCGAGTCATCGATCCTGATAATTCGAATCTAATCACTGCCGCATGCGAGGCACACGTTCACACGATCCAGTCCAACGTTCGAGCCGTGGACAAGTTTTGGATCAAGGGGAATTCGTACTCGCTCTCCCACATGTTTAACCACGACCCCTTTACACCGCTGTTCGTAGGCGGCACGGTTTATCAGGGAATTTTAAGTTCTCTCGATTATCATCGTTGGCACAGTCCCGTGGATGGAATAGTTCGGAACACTCGCCTCATCCCGGGCATGTATTATGCCGCACGTTTGGACAATGACCCCGATCCAGACGTCGTCTCTCGCTCCCAAGACTTTGTAACGGCGATCGCTGCGCGTGCTTTGATCTTCATCGAATCGGACAATCCAGTGATTGGACTGATGTGCTTCGTCGCGGTTGGGCTCGGGGAAGTATCTACGTGCGCGGTTACGGTGAAGGAGGGAGACAGACTGAAGAAGGGGGATGAGCTTGGGTCATTCCATTTCGGTGGCTCCACGCACTGTCTCGTCTTTCGCCCACAGACGCCTTTGAAACCGTTCCCTCATCTACAGCCGGGGACTGTGCATAACGTTAACAGTAATATTTTCTACATCGAAAACGGAACTGAGATGGACTAACCACATAACTCTCGCAACGTGGACGATTTTTTATCTATCCATTTTTCTTGGACTCGTTCTACATTATGTGTACTGAATGATATCTCATAGTTTATAGCTTATGTTGATGTGTTTCAGAAGAGAGTTTACCAGAGCTGACATGTTGTAGTTATTTTTCAAATACCAACAGTACTGACCTACGTACGGAGTATCTGAGCATCGAAATTGGTTAGACTCGAAGCTCCGACCGTGGACATTTGTTGTAATATATTGGAGATGCACTCTGGGCCTCTCTGGGCCTGCTGGTCAGCGGGCGCACTTTTAGAAACAGAACCGATCGCTAGGTACAAGATACATATTAGCCTGAGGCTCCGTAACATCGTAACATTGTTGCAAGCGAATACACTTTACCTCGGCATCAGGTTCATAGGGATTAGATACTGACTTTAACTTCTTAAATCAGTCCCTGACACTGCCTTGGCATGAAAGTGACGTATTACTGGTACTCGTCTACTAATCCATGGAACAGAAAACATTACTTGTACTTCTGCTTGGCGGCAGCTTTTGTGGTCTCGGGTACTCTAGCTTTCATGAACTGTACCGACTGACTGGCTCGGAGGACTATGACGCTGCATCTGTAACATTAAACAAACAAAAATAAAATAGCCGATTGCGCGACTCTTGCAGCACTGCGCAACTTAAAAACAGTGACCCGCAATTTTTGCAGTCACCCCTCCATTTTTTTTTTCGAGTGGATCAATAAGACGTTTTATCATAATATGAAGATACCCATACTACAGCTCAGAGATCTGACTACCTCGAGTAGACCTGTGGCAGACGGAAGTACAAGTAGGACAAGGAAGAGCGTGGGGGGCGTGTCCTCAGAGCCTTGCGTTAACTGCGTGGAGGACGCATTCTCTGCGCCGCGCTTCTCGTACACCTTCTGGAAAAGGCCTAGCGAAACTTGTTGAGTCTCGCCGATCTTCTCCTCGATTTGCTCGGCAGTGACAGAAGCATCGCCGGGAGGCCTTTCGAGGCCAATTCACTAAGTTCGCCAGCGAGTTTCGACACCTTCTCCCTCTCGGCAGCATCAAGCTGCTCCTTGAACTCGTTCATTGCTATCACAGGTGCGAATCAATGCGGGAAAGTGAAGCACCATGTAGTAAATACGTACCCTTCTCTGTGTCGACACAGACTGACTTGCCCTTGTTTGCTTCCTCGATGAGTTCCCAACGGGCCTTATCCACATCGGCATACTTCTCAGCGTCAGAGATCATGCACTCAATGTCCTTGTCGCTCAGACCTGACAAAGACGCGATCGTCATAGACTGATCCTTGTTGGTTGCCTTATCCTTGGCGGTGACGTGGACGATATCATCTACAAGGGATGAGGAAATTATCTGAAGACCTGTATAAGAGACATACCAGCATCGATGTCGAAAGTGATCTCAATTTGAGAGACGCCCTTCGGGGCCGGAATACCGACGAGATTGAAGTTGTCAAGGAGTTTGTTGTCCCTGACGAGTTCACGTTCACCCTGGAAAATCTTGTCCTCAATGGCGGTCTGGCCATCGGCAGCGGTAGAGAAAACTTGCGACTTCTTCGTTGGGATGGTCGTACTGCGGTTGATGAGTTTTGTCATGATACCATCGAAAGTCTCAATGCCGAGGGAGAGTGGGGTGATGTCGAGAAGTAGAATGTCGGTGACATTTCCGGCGAGAACACCACCCTGGATAGCAGCACTAATGGCAACGGCTTCATCGGGATCGACACCTTTACTCGGCTCACGACCGAAGATCGACTTCACGGACTCACCGACCTTAGGCATGCGGGTCATACCACCAACGAGGAAGACTTCGTTCACCTCACTAGACTTGACTCCAGCATCGGACAACGCTTTCTTGCAGGGATCAACGGTACGTTGGATCAGAGGGCCGGTAAGGGTCTCAAATTGAGTGCGGTTCAACTTCAAGTTGATGTACTTTGGACCGGTTGCGTCCGTGGTGATGAATGGCAAGTTAATTTCGGTCTGCGTCGTGGATGATAATTCAATCTTGGCCTTTTCGGCAGCCTCACGAATGCGCTGAATGGCCATGCAGTCTTGATTGAGGTCAATGCTCGACTCTTTCTTGAATTCGTTGAGGATGTGGGTAACAAGAGCGATGTCAAAGTCCTCGCCACCAAAGTGGGTGTCTCCATTGGTGGACTTGACCTTGAAGACTCCTTTGTGCATCTCCAGGATGGAGATATCAAAAGTACCACCGCCAAGATCGTACGTGGCAATCACTGATGATTCGGTACGATCAAGGCCATATGCCAGTGCCGCGGCCGCCGGCTCGTTGATGACTCGAAGAACCTCAAGGCCAGTGATTTGACCAGCGTCCTTGGTGGCCTGCCGTTGCGCATCGTTAAAGTATGCGGGGACCGTAATGACCGCATGACTAATAATAGTAGTCAACACTGGGGGACTCCTAACTAGTATACGCGCAACTTACTTGACTTTCTTGTTGAGATACTGCCTGGCGGTCTCACGCATCTTGGTAAGTACCATGGACGATAACTCCTCAGCACTCTAGAAAGTATATTAGTTCTCTTACTGATCCAGAGGGGTGAAAAGGCATACGAATTGTTGTCTCTCGCCACCGATGTCAACCTCGACAGCTGGTCGAGCATCTTGAACACCCTGCAGATGATATAAGATGCTTTCCTATTTAACAATTGTCGCATGTACTAACCAGTGCTTCATGTCCTCCTGGACCTCCACGTCCTTGAACTTGCGGCCGATCAAGCGCTTAAATGTGAAGACAGTTCTGGTGGCGAGTGGACCAATGGATGGAGCTTGGTGCGGTGAAGGGCAAGAGCAGTGAATTTCTGTATCTTGGTCTTCAAGCCGGACGAGGATGGGGGCAACTCCGGGCAAGCGAAAAAGCAGGTGATAAAATGAGTACGAAGAGGCATCAAATTGAAACATGTTCATGGCTGTAGTATTCGTCTTGTCATGCGATGGGCTGTGTCGGTGGTGGTTTCGACGAAAATATGATATGGGAATCCAATGTCGACCGCAGGTGCCCGCACTCGCACTGGTAGTTGGTACATAGCAAGTTGTGTTGCGGTATATCCGTCTTCCTCGGGCTCCTTGGCACTTGCATCGTTGGTAGTCTTGCATGGATTCACGACGACGAGGGCAGTGGAGCTGATTCTAGTGCAAGGTAAGTCCGCACCTGTGGGCCCGTGACCGTGGGAAATGGTGTCGCACTACTGAGACAGTGGCGACACACCAGCAATGTCGATGCCGTGGACATGAGCTCTATCGCCCAGCTAGCGTTCCTGCCCCTTCCACAGCCCAGCCTTGGTAGATGGCCAGCTAATATCCAGACCGCTCATGGAACCATCAAGAAAGTGTACGATCAAGCTCTTTATGTCCTGCGATCTGATAGTTTTCCGGATCCCACTCGGGTTTCATTCCACATAGACGCACTCACTTCAACTGCACTTGCCATCCTCGAAGCACTTATCCCTAGTGGTTCTAGTCATGAGGACGAATCTCTGCCTCAGGAGTGGTTGGTGGGTGTCGCAAGGCTCATTGGGCAGGCAGTGCAAGATCTTCGGGACGTGGCACAGGTTGTTAATATGTTGTATGTCCGATTTTCTGTCGGTGAATGGCGCTTGACTTCTTTTCAAGTGAATGGCGAGAGGTTAGTATACCTGAGCTTGTAACGGAGTCCAAGAATGGTCGGCGCGGACGGCCTCAGAAGTCTGTATGCCCTGACTTCCTTACTGAGGTTGTCACCGATAATAGCTGTCACATCAGTCTCAGTGAACTTGCTCGCATCCTAGGCATTAGCCGCATGACACTCTGGCGAACTATGCGGAAACATGGCCTGAAGCGGAGCTACACCGTATTGAGCAATGATGACTTGGATGTAGTTGTGAGGGCGTTCAAGAAACACAAACCAGAGTCTGGATTCCGCTATTTACTCGGACACTTACGCCATCATGGGATTCGAGTCCAACAAAAACGAATATGGCAGTCATTGTCTCGCGTTGATAGACTAGGTCAGCGGTTACGTGAACATCGTGTTATAAAACGCAGGGTGTATCGTGTCAAGAGGTCAAATGCGCTCTGGCACATTGACGGACACCACAAACTCATCCGATGGGGATTTGTGGTCCATGGAATTATTGATGGTTACTGTCGAACGGTGTGTCGCAGCGCTTACTGACATGTTTGATTGACCTTACGCTTTCAACAGATTACTGGTTTATGTGCCAGTACAGACAACCTCGCATCAACCGTTTTCAATGTATTCCTCAATGCACAGGCAGAGTATGGAATGCCATCACGTATGAGAGGTGATCGTGGTGGTGAAAATATCGACGTGGCTACATACATGGTAGCTGTCCGAGGTCCCAACCGTGGATCATTTATGTGGGGATCGTAAGTCACAACTACGCGCCAATGGCTGTCTTTTTGATGTCATGTACTACAGGTCTACCCGAAACTCGAGGATTGAACGCGTGTGGGTCGAAGTTGGAACTCAATTTGTACGCCGCTGGCGGGGATTTTTTTCTCGGTGTGAAAGACTTCACTGCCTTAATCCTGGTGACAGCAGTCACCTGTGGCTCATTCAAAGGCTCTTTCTTCGGGAAATTAATGATGATTGTGAGGACTTCCAGTGCGAATGGAACCTTCATCCAATTAGCGGGCCAACGACCAATAATAAAAGTCCACAGGTGTGTGAAGCATATCATTTTAAGGATGGGCCGCACTCAATTTTACTGACATATCCACAGGATTTACGGCTTATCAGTAATGTCACACTAGGAGAATACTACGACGAATATGAGGGGATCCATCCCCTCACTATTGAGCGATATTATGGCGTTCACGGCCATGTACGGGTTCGGCGGAATGGCCAAACGGGTGCGGGCCATTGCCCCGACGAGGAGCCAGAGGCCGATGACGAAGAAATTGCCACAAACGAACATAATGGTATTCTGAGAAGGGTTGGAGCTGACCTCCAGGAGCAAGTGCGCCATGAAGCAGTGGAAGTTCCTGGCAAAGGATCACCTTTCGCATGTGTCAAAGACGAGGCAGAATTTTGGTCAGTGCTTGACCGCGTTGTCATTGAAGATATCACACCAGCAGGGTATGGAGATGATCATGGGTCAGAAGGTGATGAATCAACAGAGGAGCACATCGCAATTGGTCGGCAGGGAACACGGTTTGTTACAGTATCATTAGCAGAGCCCATATGGGCAAGACGGGCAAAAACCTGGTGTCAGGCACTCGCCGTTCTAACTCTCTTCGATGCAGATGGTTATTTTTGATCCCCCCCTAGTCATACATGCAATGTATTTACTGTACATATGGTCATGGTCAATTCAGTGGTTGTCGAGTTGAGCACAAGCACAACACTACCGGCTTAGTCAACATTAGACAGACACATCAGAACTCAGAGTCCTGCCTCGAGCTTCAGTCTTCACTCACTCCTTCTCTCGTTGCCGGTAGTTGGTCCAATCCCTCCATGCCAGATGTCGACGAGCGGCTCTGCTGCTATTTCGATGAGAACGGAAAACAATGCAGTTGCAGGATGTTTACCGCACCTGCCAACAAGAATGCACGTTATCACTGTCGTGAGTGCACGCATGGTTTCAGTAATCACCCGGAAGCACAGTTTAGCAACAAATCCCCGAAATTGACTATGGATGTAAAGGTAGAGCCTGCAACCGGCAACCGGCTTTTGGATGTGTTCCATCAACGGAAGACATCTCGCAATATGGAGTTGCCTAACTCCCTCCAGCATGTGCGTGAAGAGGTCCTGAAAGGATTCCGTGCTGGTAGCAGTGGGACACAACGAGTTACATCAACTAAAATTAAGGTGCGTTGGACCACTTCCTAAGCCAGTGTCCATACTCCAATATTGATGATCACAGAAACCTAACTCTACTGGGAAGCGGGTCCCATCTGGTAACCATGATGGGTCCCAGCAGGATGTTTTAGTTGGAACGTGGCTACTACTGATCAATGCATTGGATGAGGTATGTGCTATTGAACTAGCTCCTAACAAGTATTAATCACAGATATACAGGCAGGTGAATTGATCCAGACAAAACCACTGTCGAGAACAGAAATGTACACAGCAGAACATCGGCAGTGTGTGCACACTGGTGCCAATGCGGCCAAATTCGCATTCCGGCGGGACTGGACTCACGACGATGTCGACAAGTACCTCAGAGAACACGTTTTCCCGCGTCCGATGGAGTATGCACTTATGCACAAGAAGGGTAAAAGTAAGGCGAGCTGTTGTTGGAAACTCGCCTTCAAGGAGAAACAACGATTCGGACTCGCAGTGACCGAGGACCTTCCGACTGGCCAGGATCTATTCTACTATCGAGGACGGTTTAAATGTGGCACAGATTCGAGCATAATTATAGGTATGAGTTATGCCTTCCACCTGTTAAACTACTAATATATCAACACAGCATTGTGCGGTCATGTCCCGGAAGAGGAATATGCGTCTTGGGGTCTAAGACAGCATCAGGAGAGTAGTGAATTCCAGCCAGCAAAGCTTCGAGAGAGTAGCGACTCCATCCCTCCAGCAGCCTCAAGTGAAGACTCCGAAGACAAACGGACAATATTTGAATCCATGATGCGGAAGCAGGGACGCAGTCAGCACCCTGGTACGATGACCAGAACCCTGTTCTAATCACAGCTGACCTCTGAATTTTCCCCTCTGTGCAGACCAACCAAAAGGGAAACGAGGCCGATATCAATCACCGGTAATCGAGATCGAGAGTTCAACTGACTCTACTCAGCCACCGCCCAGCACCCAAGTTCCTCGCATCCATGGTGGATCCATCAGGCCATCAACACGTAAGTCCCATTTCTTTGTTTTTGACATGTGCTCACACCGCAACAGTTTTTCTCCCATCAGGCGACAGTGACTTATTGGATGTGGCTGACCTCCCGACTCAATTGAAGGGTCTCTCGGTTTCTCCACCTCCACCCACATTCGTTGGCCAGGCGCCTCTCGCCACTGTGAATCGCTATGTCTCGTTGCCCCCCAAATTTTTACAGGATCTTGATCCCTTTGGATCACTGGTCAACTCCCCCCTCTTACACCCGTATGTAAATCCGTGGTCACCTGATTATTTCCTTGGTGCGGCCGACTACTTTTGATTTGGAGGTAACATGCTATTGAGTATGAATGGTCATCCACTTACATCTAACCGTAATCCACATTCATGTCTATGGAATTTTGAGGTACCACCCACATTCGTTTAATCAGCATTCATGTCGACGCAGTTACATCCTGTAATCACTTGTCCCCAGCATCAATATACCGTTGATCTCGAGGCTTAGCCCTCTTCGCAAATATTGTTGTGGTTTGTTTACTCCTGTCAGCGGAGCCAGCCACATGTCCTGCTCGTCGACGCAAGTCCAATCCCTCTGCAAAGTGATGGATGACCAAACCCAAACCATGCCCATGCGACGACATCACATGTTCTACTACGAAGACGGAACCCATGTCTTCCAGGTGAGTTACCTAGCATCGTAGTAACATCTATCAGGCTGTTTACAATACATCCAGGCTCAAAGTTCACTATTCAAAGTCCATAAGAGTGTTCTCTCCGACAAATCCATCGCCTTTAAGTCTATGTTTGCTGCACAAGACAGTACCGGACTTCCCCAAACTGATGGACACAGCGACGAAAAACCAATTATTGTGCCTGATCAAGTCTCCGACCTAGGATTTGAACTGTTTCTGTCCGTGTGCTACAACAAGTAGGTCGATCCGTATGCTGCCATTGAAAATATGCTATATATTGATGTTGTTATTTCAGATGGCGCCCAGATACTTCACAGGCATCCGAGACCACCCTTCTTCAGCTCCTTGAGCTTAGTCGCATGTATGAGTCCAAGGACGTCCGTGAACACGCCATCAAGCAACTCGCCTCTCGCCGCTATACCATCAAACCTATCACACTGATCTCCATTGCCCTAAAATATCATATCAAGGACATCTTCTGTTACGCATTCAGACGGCTCATCCCAAAGCCTATAAACGAACTCAACCACGCCGATTATGAGCTTCTTACTGTCCCTGTATGGATGACGCTCCTCAGAGTCAAGGAGCGACTCGAACTCCACCGCCGTATTGTGGCATGTGAGCCACCACCTATGGTGCATTCGCCGTGTTGCCAGGACCACAAGAGGTGTGTTGACGACTGGCGCCAAGTATGGTGGAATGGCATGGGCCGGTACTTGCTTGATGGTCGTAGTCCTCAGCCATACAACTCTGCGGTCAAGCAATTTGAAGGTCTTAGCTATGGGAGTGTCGACCCCGAGTGTTGGAGAGTGATGCTCGCTCTTGTCAAGGAGGGGAAGGCATTTCAGCACGAAGATGATCTCATTTACCGCACAGCTCGGGGACTGGCAGAGTACTTGATCCACGAACCCTTCTTCGGCGATGATATAGACATGTGATCCTACAGTTGTACATCTAGTGTCGTGGCCATCCACCCAAAAAATCACAGGCCATATATATTTAAAGTATTAATGACTGCAAAAGTTGCGGGTCACTGTCTTTAAGTTGCGCAGTGCTGTAAAAGTTGCGCAATCGCCTGTTTTATTTTGTTTGTTAATGTTACAGATGCAGCGTCATAGAGGACAACAAGCGCTGATGCAACTTTAAGGTGTAGTCTCGGTTCCAAATTTCCGGTCAGCTTCGGAATCTCCCGGAACACGGCTGGAACCGAGGCTACGTTCCATTTTAAAGGAACACTTAGGATCCACTAATGGTGGTTTTCAGCTGCTGCCAAAAGCGATATCAAATGGAATCAATAGGCCCCTCGTGTTGCCAATATTGCTTACATGATCTTATCGACTTCCCGTGTGTGGCCGGGGGCCTTGCCATTCCGCACTTCCCTCCTCCGTTCGCATTTCTATGTTAACTACTGTCTTCTTGCAGCACGAAAAAGCTTGCTGATATTGGGGAGGGTATCACAGAGTGTGAAATTATGCGTTGGTGAGTAGAACCGTACGTTGTAGGCAATGAAGGAGCCGTCGGCTATTCAGTCATTTGACCCGCTGTGTGAGGTACGAAGTGACAAGGCCAGCGTTGAAATCGTGCCTCACTACGACGGTGTCATCAAACAATTCCTTGTCGACGAAGGAGAGGTGCCGGCAAAGGAGGCTGGACAAGGCGAATTGTCTCATAAAAGTAGTAGAAGATACCACTGATGTGGAGCACCGGTCAAGGAGATCACGGAAACGACAGGCCGATCCCCTGTCCAAAAGCCGATCCGGACGGAAGGACCTCACATGGCCAGCATTCTTCCTGAGAACGTTGGCAATCTCCATCATTACGCCAGTTCCGGCCCAGGATGCTAACGCCAAGCCGGATCACCGGTGCGCTAAGAAAGAACTCGAGCTTAGGGGCTGTCTGCCTGACAGAAAATGTAACATACACACTGCTCCATGCAATGTACATACCTCGTTTTTTATTACTGAGACTAGGTATGTAAGTTCTACACATATCAGAATGACGATCCTCCTCCCTAGGGGCAACTAGTGATCTTCCTGCTTTCTTTATTCCCTTTTCTTGCAGGGTCTACGTCGATATCGTGCGTGAGAAGGTCACAAGGGCGCTCCATTACAGAAACATGTGTTTCACTACACCCGCGGTCGCTGGGTGCTGGAGTGTGAATGGGGCCTACGTATTTGCGTCAGGCAGAAGTTCTCGTATAGTCCATCGCCGGCGTAGTAAAAGGTAGGACTGGATGTTAGGTCTGGTTTCTCCAGGGAACACACTGGTTTCCCAGAACCATTCTGCCAGAAGGACAGAAAAAAGGATTATAAGGATCGGGCAGGATCTTTTTTAATGAGAAAGGAAAGCCATACTACGAGTTTACCAACTCCTCGCCGCACGACGTGGTGTACAAGTGAAAGACATACCCCACGAGCGAGCACCCCTCCCGGGCATTCAAGGTAGTGGCCGTCTTGAACAAATACACCCATTCAGCTACTCACATATGGTATGGTGGTAGTTCATCGATGCCCACCCACATATTGCAGAACGCATTTGCACTTGCGGCGAAAAGTCCGTGGTGGCGCTCGACGAAACTCACAGACACCGGGGTTTAGTGGGAGCAGACTGGTTACATGTCCACAATGACATGGTACGCAAGGATGCTTTTGGAGCCATGTATTTCCATGGATCCCATGGCCAACTTCGTACCTGGGGAGGTTGTATTGCGTGCTAAAGCTTGACTTCTATGCTCCGTGGCTGTGGATACGTGCCGCCGTCATAAACCCATTAGCCCTGCAAGAACGAGCCCTTGTATGGCTATGCAATGTACTGCGGTCTGCAGCTGGAGCCGTGCTCCACAAGTAGCTCCAATGTACCACATGAATGAAGGATAGATCATCATCACTCTTCATCAGTGTTTACCCGATACCTATTATTTTCCCATGTTGCCGCAAGCAGCTAAGGCGAACTGTGAGTATGGATATTTCTTGGAGGTGAGGCAGAATCCGGAAAGCACGGATCACAGAACACACCAATCAATCGATTCTTTCCTTCCTTGAAGACGGATATTTGTGAATATGCTGCGGAAGGTCGCGGCCCGGGTGCGTAACAGCCCCTTGGTTGGCTTTCATTATCTCTGGACATTTCCCCTTGATCATGGTGACATTGTCACAAAGCCATGGCTGGACGCCTCCAGCAAAGTGTAATCGTGTTGGTCGTTTCTCTCAATCGACAAGATTTATAACGGGAAAATTGTGGTGAGTTATCCAGATGTGCTAGTTGAATGTCGCAGAGCGTACGCCATCCACTTCACCGGAGTCGGCCAAGGACCTTTTACACACACTACTGTGTACAACAATTAAAGGATGTTGTGACTTGTAGCACTGCAAGGCTGATCATTTTCGAGCTACTTTCCACACTCAATCAAGTTTACTGCAGGTCACTAGTTCATTACACCAAATTCCGGTCATCTATGGCAGCCGCACCTCTGCGAGGACAACGGAGAATTAAATATTGTCTGTACGTATAAGCATTTTATCCATGGAGTGCCCTGTCCTGATCGAGTCGATGCGGTTGGCAGAACAAATAAACGGCGTGGCAGAATCAGCCCATCCGCCGTACTCGTAGGGACATATTGTCGATAATTCTAAGCGATCGGAACCCTCACATGCCATCGGGTACGTCTTCAATCGTTGGAATCCACGCGCAGCTTTGATCGTACGCAGGGACAGATTAATTTCACTCTGGTTTCATGCTACTGTGCTAGCACTCAACCGGCACGGCAACCTAATCATCAATATTTTTACATGCTGTTCCGGAGGGTAGCGAGCACGGTCCACGGATATCGATCTAGGATAAATAATGTCGTGAGAGAATTTGCGGAAACAGATTGTTGTTTCATCCCGGTCATATGGTATCAGCGTACCCCGCGGGCGCAGCAGATCCCGCGCGTGCATTTCCTGATCTTTAGCAAGTGAACGTACTCAAGTACGATAAAAAGATGGTAAGTGAACTCCCCAGTATCAACCATCTCTTGCTTTTTCTCTCGTAGCGATTAGAAGCTATGTCACACAGCGCATACGTCCCGAACCACGTGGGTAGATGGGTTATGCGCAAGCCAGCCATCCTTGATGGCTGGACTTATGATCAGCTCACTTTACCTCGTGCTCAACTACCCGCCGACAAGAAGTGTTTCAATGTTCGGCCACTCGCTCCAGTCATCCAGGAGTTCCAGCGGCTCATAGAGGGTGATCCCGAACTCTTCATGTACTTCCACACGATGTTTGATGAAGTCCGCCGACCAGACGGTGACCTAGATCATGTAAGTAGCTTTACTTGATGTCCGGAAGCTTTGAATAACAGCGAAATAGGTTAACGACTATAAGGAGTTAATGAAGACCCTCGACCGGATCATCACTCAGGCGCCCAAATTCGGTGGTGCCAATAACCTTGTCATGGGTGTTCCCATGTATGCTGTCCTCGCTCCGTTTTGCAACACTCCATCTGGTTACAACATCTTCACCAATCCAAAAGTGAACGCCCAACTTCACAAAATCTTCGACGTCTGGGCTGCATTCCTCGTCTCTCCCGAATCTCGTTACGTTCTTACCACGAACGAGCAATGCTGGTTCAGCCCCATTGCCGTAGACGTCATGTCGGAGAGACTTGGGACGAGTTTCTATGATGCGTGGGTTTGCAGAGACAGCAACCCTCGGAATCACTACGGCTTCACGTCCTGGGACGATTTTTTTACCAGACGTTTCCGGCCTCACATGCGCCGAGTCATCGATCCTGATAATTCGAATCTAATCACTGCCGCATGCGAGGCACACGTTCACACGATCCAGTCCAACGTTCGAGCCGTGGACAAGTTTTGGATCAAGGGGAATTCGTACTCGCTCTCCCACATGTTTAACCACGACCCCTTTACACCGCTGTTCGTAGGCGGCACGGTTTATCAGGGAATTTTAAGTTCTCTCGATTATCATCGTTGGCACAGTCCCGTGGATGGAATAGTTCGGAACACTCGCCTCATCCCGGGCATGTATTATGCCGCACGTTTGGACAATGACCCCGATCCAGACGTCGTCTCTCGCTCCCAAGACTTTGTAACGGCGATCGCTGCGCGTGCTTTGATCTTCATCGAATCGGACAATCCAGTGATTGGACTGATGTGCTTCGTCGCGGTTGGGCTCGGGGAAGTATCTACGTGCGCGGTTACGGTGAAGGAGGGAGACAGACTGAAGAAGGGGGATGAGCTTGGGTCATTCCATTTCGGTGGCTCCACGCACTGTCTCGTCTTTCGCCCACAGACGCCTTTGAAACCGTTCCCTCATCTACAGCCGGGGACTGTGCATAACGTTAACAGCAATATTTTCTATATTGAGAACGGAACTCAGAGTAACTAACTACTCCATTCCGATGTGGACAGTATCGCATGATATCTTCTGTATATATTCAATACGCAACCATTGTTCATACCTTCACCTAGATGTAGTTATCTTTCAAACAAAAACAGTACAGGTTTGTGGCATATTCAACTCGATCGACCTCCCTGCAGGTACCCAATGCAGAATGTTCACAGAAACTGTTAAAGATTCGAGACTTCGGCCATTCGTTTCTAGTGGTAGGCGCACGTAGTAAATATTAGAAATCAGAATTGTTCAACAGACAAGGGGATCGGATCCCACCCATCACACTTCCGGTTCACGCACACAGTTGTTATGTAATACTATGTAAAAAGGTACTTCTGTCGGGAACTGTATGTGCGATTTCACTGAACCACCAGGTAAAGGCCACCCTCGTACAGTCGCATGAGCTCTACGTCGAGTGTGGCTACTCCATCCTGGAGACTGTGATACGGTGAGCCAACAGCCGACGCTGATGATGTAAGTAGAGCCCCCATCCACGTTGCTTACATGATCCAATTGACTTCCCATGTATGGTCCGAAGACCCTGAGACGGAGCTTTACTGCTTCCACCGTACTATGGTATTCGCGCGTCCCCTCCAGCGTACACTCATCCGCACATCCCTCCTCCGTTCGCATTTCCATGTTAACCACTGTCTTCTTGCAGCACGGAAAAGCTTGCGTACCTTCAAGCTTGCTGATATTGGGGAGGGCATCACAGAGTGTGAAATCATACGGTGGTGAGTAGAACCGTACATGTTCCGGCCGAGCCGTTCGTTCGCAACGCGAGGAAACCTTTGACAAACGCGCATTTTGTTGTAGGGCGGTGAAGGAACAGTCGGATGTTCAGTCGTTTGACCCGTTATGTGAGGTGCAAAGTGACAAGGCCAGCGTTGAAATCACGTCTCCTTATGATGGCGTCGTCAAACAATTCCTTGTAGGCGAAGGAGAGGTAGCAAAGGTTGGACAAGGGCTATGTCTCATTGAAGTAGAAGACGAAGACGATACCACTGGTGTGGAGATCACGGAGACGACGGACCGATCCCCTGTCCAGCAGCCGATCCAGACGAAAGATAATACTCGAACGAAGGCACCTCAGTCGACACACGATCCCCGGCAAAGGCATCCTCTAGACCCGGCCAATGTCGCAACCGGAACTACTGATCATGTGCTAGCTACACCTTCTGTACGTCACTTTGCGCGTCAACACGGAGTCGATCTTGCGGCGATCGCTCCGGGCAGTGGACGCGATGGGCGAGTGGAGAGAAAGGACGTCGAGGCTTATATATCAAGTATACCTGTACCGGAAGAAGTTGAGGCTACACCGAGACAGGAAGGGGATGCAGTAGTTGACCTGGGAAGAACGCGATATGGAATGTGGAAAGCGATGGTACAAGTGAGTGTAATGTCACTCAAATATTGGACCCTGACTTGAGTCTTCACATATGTGCAGAGTCTTGAGATACCCCGTTTCGGGTACGTCAAGGGGCACCTTTTAGAGTGTTCGCGTGTTTATACTTCTTCCCCTAGATACTCCACTTCACTTGACCTTACACGTTTCCACGGCCTACTGCCCATACTCAATGCCCATATCCCAGCACACTACTTGCCTTCGTCGTCAACCCAATCATCTTCGCGCGTATCTCATATGGTCAACCCTTTTGCGCTGTATCCGGTGCCGCAGCCTCCCTCCGTGCCCGAGAGCGGCAGGTTTTCAAAGATGACCTACCTCCCATTCCTCCTGAAGACATTGGCGATCTCCATGATGGAATGGCCGCTCTTCCGGGCTTCCATCACACCGGTTACAGCCCAGGAAACCAACAACAAGCCCACATTGACAATCCGGCCAACTGCTGACCTTGCACTGGCACTCTCCACCCCGACAGGACTGTATACTCCCACAATTTCTTCTACACAGTCTCTTTCCCTACACGCTCTTGCTTCTCGTGTCACTCACCTCGCTCATCTTGGTCGCCAGGTCCCATGTGGACTTGCTGTCAAAGATATGCCGAGACGTGGTGGCACAATAAGCGTGTCGAATGTTGGAGCGGTAGGCAAGGGCGAAGGCGCAAGCCCTGTCTTAGTTCCAGGAGGTGGCGTTGCAATTGTGGCAATCGGGAGGGCAAAATGGGTGTGGGATGTGAGCGACGAATTCTACCGTCCGAATGAGGGCATGGAGGGTGCGCGAAGGTTGAAGATCGACGTGAGCTGGAGCGCAGATCACCGCGTAGTTGAAGGTGCAGAACTTGCTGCTTTCGTTGAGACTTGGCGTGGATGGGTCGAAAACCCAGAACGACTAATTGCAGAGGCCACTTGAGCTCGGCTCGGTCAGCTAGGTGACTTGTACTACATACTGTATTTTTATTGCAACCCGAATGTCATTCTACCATAGGATATGCATGGATACCTTGTAGATGGTGTACACCCACTCCAGGTAGCATCAACCTGAATATCGAAGGCTGACGTTGAGTGACGTCTGCATATACCCAGCGGCTCTGGAAAGAACAGGTCAGTTGCATGAAACAGTATGCACACATTCATCTCTTCCATCCCTTTCCATAGGAAGTTTTAGACCAGTAACGAATACTACTTTTTCGCGGAAAACCGAACACTGTCAAGCTTGCAGCTTGCACGATGTAAGGCTCTACTTGAGTCGCCGTAGTTTTGAGTTATCATTGCCACGTGATCTGACTCGGCACTTTTCTAATAATAGCTGAACAACACGGAGTTTTACACATACTCTCCGTGCAGTGGGCCAGGATGTCGATGAACGTGCGTATGGGACCGTACTCTAAGAAAAGCTCTTGACGTGGGACTGGAAACTTGTCGTTTGACAACCTCGTTCGTGGTTCCAGCCTATCAGACGAAGATAATTCGTCAGTTCCCCATGTATCTGTCACATTTCTCCTGGCTTGCAGATAGCTTCTGGTCTGGTACCACATGGTCAAGCGTGAACCTGCACGAACTCGTGACCACCATGGTTACTATGCATATACTCTATTTTTCAGGAACCGTGCCTGTGACCGCCGATTAAATAGCGCAAGCTCCCCCCACGAGGACTATACATCGCGCGCCTCTTCTCATCGCCACGCAAGATGTGGGTGCGATTGGTATTAGCTGCTGCTGTACTTCTTCGTGCAGATGTACATTCTCAAGCTGTGAACGAGACCGACTCCCTGTCTTGTATCATCGAGTCTAAAGGCGTGCACATCCCTGGAACGGTTCCTTGCAACCCCTACGAACCGCTGCAGCACCGCCTCGCCTATGCAGGACCAAATGGCATGACAGTCAGTTGGAGTACGTATGCGCAGATCGAAACCCCCCAAGTATACTACGGACCGTCTCCATTCGATCTCTCTTCCGTTGCGACTGGCTATTCTGTCACATACCCTACTTCGAGAGTGTATGACAACCATGTAAAGATAACAGGACTCAAGCCCAATACGAAGTATTGGTATCGTGTACAATATCAGTTGAGTGTAGTGTTTCTTTTCATCGCAGGTTCATCTGTGCTGACCATGGTGTTGAAGGAATTGTCCAGGTTGTGCTTACAGAGCAACCGACACTTTTGTAACTGCACGTGAGGCCGGTGACGATACCCCTTTTTCCATCGCAGTTGCTGTGGATCTCGGTCTTATGGGTAGAGATGGGCTTAGTACGTCCGTCGGACCTTTGGGTGGCTCGTCTGCTGCAGCGAACCCTCTCGGCCCACGTGATCTTAATACCATTCAGGGTCTTTTGCAAAACAAGGAGTGCGTGGTTCCCAAGCTTGTTGGCTGCGCCACTCATGGCTTGATAGTACATATGAATTCATTGCTCACTACGGAGATATCGCCTACGCGGACTACTTTATCAAGGAGAGCTGGCAAGGCTACTTTGGAAATGAGAGCCTGATCCCCAACGTGACAAGTGTGGTGGATGGCTACAATTCGTTATTGGAACAGTACTATGACCAGATGACGCCGCTTACCAGTGCAAAAGCCTATATGGTCGGTCCAGGAAACCACGAGGTCAGTTTTTGCCTTTGCTCGTCATCACGGATGGTAACCTGAGACACCTGTTCAGGCAAACTGTGACAACGGGTACGTAACATCACTTTACACAATGTAGCCTATGGGCTCAGAGTTGGTTGTAGTGGTACGACTGACAAGGTTCACAATATCACTTACACCACCTCGATATGTACTCCAGGACAGACCAACTTCACCGGTTACAGTGCGTGGTTTTTGCTGTCTTTGTGAGGTTTTCATGATCCAATGGCCGTAGTTAATCATTTCAGGATGCCGTCCGACGAATCTGGTGGAAACGGCAACTTTTGGTACTCCTTCGACTACGGTCTCGCTCACTTCATCACTCTTGACTCCGAGACTGACCTTCCAGTGGGACTACAATCCCCTGATGAAGCTGGGGGCTCAGAGGCGGGAGCAGACAATGGCCCCTTCGGATACCCCAATGAACAGATCGAGTGGCTCGAGAAGGATCTTGCTGGTGTCGATCGCAGTAAGACCCCGTGGATCATCGTCGGCCTTCATCGTCCGTGGTACATCGCCGCCCAAAATGATTCGGGTGATGTTTGTCTCGCCTGTCAACAGGCATTTGAGCCATTGTTCTTGAAGTACAATGTCGATCTCTACATGCAGGGACACGTGCACGTGGGTTCTGTCCTGCCGCTATGACCGCCGTTCTAGAACCTGATTTCCTTTTTAGCTTTATGAGCGCAACAAGCCAATTGCTAACTGTGCGTCTCATTAGTTCAGCTGCATTTTCTGTGTCCTATTGTTTTCTAAATCAGATTCGATTGATCCCGCGGGGCTTAACAATCCCAAGGCCCCGTGGAACATCGTCAACGGTGCCGCAGGTCACTACGATGGGCTCGACACGCTCGTCGGGTCGCCCTACTGGACGGACGTTGCGTTTGACACGTAAGTACTCCTGTCACAGCACGTTTGTTCACTGGATTGACATGCTTTCAAGCGCCTACGGCTGGTCTCGACTCACTTTCCACAACCGCACGCATTTGACGCACGAGTTCGTGTCGAGCGCGAATGGAACTGTTCTCGACAGCGCGACTTTGTATAAAGAGCACACATTTGACAATTCCCAACATTGAATGGACCAACTCACAGTTCTCCTCGCTTTTGATATTGGGTATAGTGTCCAGTGTGGTTTGTTCCTTCACCACTTCTTATAACCGATACTACGCAAATTCGCTCCGATTGTTGATTTCACACATCAGATGTACGCATGGACGTTTCCAGAACTTATTCGTCATTTCATTTCATTCATAACTGTCCAGGGATGCGTAAGGGAGTGCCGCCGATATTCCGCGAAAACCGACAGTATCAATCAATATACTTCGTTGCGAAAGCCCCATTATTGATGCGGGTAGTATTTCTGAGCTTGCAATCGACGATATTTGGTTCCGAGATATTTGAGCGTAATCACAATCTCTGGCGCAATTCGCGCATTCAATGTACTCGTGCTGCCTAATTCATGCCTCTGGTAACGCCGGTGCGTTCCATTGAGATAGCTAATCAGACCCGCAATAAGTGCTGGGTCCAGCGTGCTCAAAATCTTGCATTGAGCGCATCATTTTGGTGACTAGTGGAATACTGTTACGACAGCTCGTACGACCCCTAGATTTGGGCGCACTGCTCTCATAACTCGCCGTATTAAAACACATGGGGCTGATACCCCTTAGTCGTCGTGTGCTAATAGTCCAGTCGAAAACCGGCGCCGCGTCGCGGTGAAAGGGTGTAGTAGGGGAGTGAGAAGCCGCAGGTCACCAGTGGTTAGGGGCTGGGAGTGCCAGGGATCTCACCGGCTGGGAAATGGTTTGTAGAGGACGGTGTAGGCTTGTTATCATGTAGCCTGTCCACCGCTAGCACCAAACGTAAGGCAACGAAGTCAGGAGTGGCTAGTCTAACGGGTTCTTGATACGTTTGAGATCAGGAAGGTCATCTACTGCGAAAACAAATCAGGCTCACGACGACGATCCCGAGGAGTCGCCTCGACCGCAGATCGTAAACTCCGGTCTGGTAGTTGCGCATACCGATGTTGTACACCTGCCCAAAAATTCCGGGAATACTGAGTGAAGTCAGCCTTGCGTAGCACTTGTGGAGTATTCTATCTGAAAGGAGTCATTGAACGTCGGAGCACTAGACTTCCGTGTGCTGCGGAAGCCGGTATCCAATTTATATACACCTCTTCCTCTGCAGGGGAGTTCTTGGCTGTATCACGCCAATATGAAATGAAATGCTTACAGCCACCTTGGTCAACGCATCGACATCCTTGGCCACCATCCGTCCAACTTGCAGTGTATCCGAATCTCCAGAACTGAGCACAGCGAACACTTGCGTTAGACTAGTCTGTAGTGCTTACAAAGCGGGTCTGTCATCCGGCAATTCTCTGCTGATGAATCACGCTCCATTCCGGAAGGCAGTACTGCAGACACGATGACCTATGCATGTAAACACTGGCGAGGTCGGTGAACGGCTTGGCGGGCTGACATGGCTCCGGACATATGTCCGAACTTTAGTCCTAAATGGGGCCGCTGGGCGCATGGCCAAGTAAGCGGTCCTAAACAGTCTCCGAGTCTTCGAGAAAGTTGGCCAGCCTCCAGTACCAGGGGTTCCCGCCTGCGTATACAGAGACTGCGGAAGATGACTCGGGTGACTCTATAAGGATAGAACAGTCGAAGTGGCAGTGGATGTCAGCTAATTGGTAATAGAATGATTCATGACTTACCGTCATCTCTTTTGGACAGATCTTCCACACGAGCTACTGGCATGCTGCGCGATCTTAGAGTTGTGATACGTACGAACGATACGTATGGAGAAAGTGTGCTGGAAAGATACAAATCTTGTCACTGCGCATTAGGACATAGTAACTGTAAGGAACGCGGCCTTTCCGCCCTGTTTGGGGGGTTTTCTTGCGGAGTCTCCGTGCATTTTTACTTCTGAGGAGATCTGCGGCCTCTAAGCTTGTCGTAGTGACTCGACCGACAGCCTGGCTGGAGGCGCGTCGTGGAGTTTGGTCATTCGGCCAATAAAGCTGCATCATGATCCGCTCATTGGCCAACATGTCTTCCCGAATGATCCGTTCCACTTTTATCGTGCAAAAAAAACACTTTTGCGTTTACTGTGATTCCTGGTCGAGACTCAAGTTGTATAGATGGATTAGTGCCTGTCGACCACGTTTGTATAGGCGTAAGGCAGGGTCTAGGCCAGAAGTTAGCCCACTGCTGAAGCTCGTACATACCGCGAATGGGTATTTGCCAGTACTTGTCACTGTTGGTACCACTCTTACAAGTACTTGGTGAAGGTTGAAACAGGGCGCGGCCCCGAGCGCTGGTGTCAGCGACTCATCATTTAATAATTACATAATTTGCTTTACTGGAACTCACCTTCCTAATATGGAGTACCAGGTATCAGGCCCGGCCATAATTTGTTTTTGCTCACCTTCCTAATATGGCGTGTCAGGAATCAATTGGGCGCGGCAGGCCAGAGTCACTGACATTCAAATAAAGCCCCTGCCGACTTCGAGATGTCTGCACTCCAGCGCCTGTCCGCCTTGACCTCCCTCTACAAGGATCGGTGGGTCCCACTTCTCGTAAGCCCGCCCTTTGCTATAAAGGTCGTTCCCATCCTAATCCCCCCTTGTGTCCCTTGTTCATGACACCGTCACCATGCCAGGTTGTCCCTTCTGCTTCCTCTTCCCGCGATTCAAGACGTACACCCAGGTTAACTCTGCAATGTGGGACATGAGAGGAAACAATCCCCCAAACAGCCCAAGATCACCCTACCCTCATTTTCCAGTTCCCTTGTGAGTACGGTGATTCGTGTCCTCCGGACGTGTTTGTGTCGATAACGAAAAACTTTATCAGCCCAAGAGCCCCCCCAGAGATGAAGCACGTAGCCTACGTCCCTCACTTGATGAAAACTAAATTATTCTCGCAGTGAATCTCGATCGGCATACCAGAAGTCGTATATGCCATTCGGCACACCAATAGTCCCGCCTGCCAGAATGCACAATACAAAGTAACCATTCTGTTTTATTTTTCACGCCGACTTCAGAATTTAACTACTCTTTGTTCCTATCAGCCCTTAGTAAGTCAGTTGCCAACGCGACCTTGTTCATACGTAACCATTAAAAGCTCGTCATATAACACTTTTCCGCGATCATCTCCTCCGCGGTTCGAATCAGGGGTGTTTCCATCTCACATGGGACAACGACCGTACTTGCGTATGCCCACTCCTGAGCCAGCTCCGCTCGCCCAGTTGTCTCGTGAACAGCACCGTGAACATCGCACTCGCACTCGCGCTCGCACAAAGTCAAACGAAACCCGTCGTGTTCACTACGCAGACAATATACCACCCGGGACGTCCCCTCCCGTTAAGGTTCCGACGACCCTCAATCGTGATGGCAGCTCACAGCAGCTGCGAAGACCCGCAACGCCTGTCCAGCCTAAGCAATCCAATGGTGGTCATCGGGCGCGCGCGCATTCAACTGGGAGTGCAGTGCCAAGACCTGTTTTGATCCATCCAGCACGGGAGCAGCAAGTTGCACGAGGTCACCAATACTTTCAATATTCTAAATGCACCGGGAGGAAGAAAGCGTTATGTGTGAGTAGACAATAAATTTTTGAGTAGTCTCCGGCACTGATATGCGTCGACGTAGATCGGAATTAATTATACCGGGCAAAAGCGTCAGCTACGTGGGTGTATCAATGATATCCGCAACGTGAAGAGATTCCTCACCAGTCTGTATCTTGATCTCTTCCCCCCTTTCCTAGCTGAATTGAAGGGATATCAGCCTACCGCGGATATCGTGACGGAGATATCGTTATGTTGATGGACGAAACGACCAACCCTCGCCAAATGCCCACGAGAAGAAATATCATCGATGCAATGCGATGGCTTGTGAAAGATGCTAAACCCCACGACTCCCTGTTCTTCCATTGTAAGTCGGCGAAATGGTGCTATGATGGAACTGGTTCCCCTATTATTATTGACTAGATTCGGGACACGGGGGTCAGATACCCGATCACAATGGCAGTGAGACAGATGGCTACGATGAAGGTACGATGAAAGCCTTAGTTGTGTACACTTGCTGACTGAAGAGTTCAGTGATATACCCGGTAGATTATAAGACAGCAGGTGTAATAGTCGACGATGTAAGGCAATTCTTTGATTCATTTCTGCTTCGCTTATTGTTGGGATGTAGGAGATGAACCGTATCATGGTATGGCCGATGTTCTCTGAGAATTTGAGTGCACTTGCCCACCCTAGTTCTGAAGGTGCAATCGCTTCCAACTGGATGCCGCCTGACCGTAAGCACACTACAGTGGGCCTACTTCGATTGTTTCTAACGGCCTATGCAGGCTATATTTGATGTAAGAGCATTCCAGCACCATGGCGAATATGTCTCACGATTATTATAGTCATGCCACTCCGGAACAGCGCTCGGTACGTCTCTATCTGGTTTGCCGTGTCTTGTACCTGACACTTCTCTAACAGATCTCCCGTATATCGTACGTGATTTTTTGGGTACACATACTCGTACTGGGAAATTAACCAACCACGTAGTATCATGCCGACGGCCGCCTCAGAGGTATCCAGATGTCCGACAGGGCAAGGGCACAAAAGGCGACATCAGCCGATGCAGTACGTACTTTCTTCTTAGGGAAGCTTCGGCTAACAAGTGCATAGATATCTTTCTCAGCGTGCAGAGATGACCAAACTAGTGCAGATACCGTCCAGAGGGGCGTTGCTGTTGGTGCCATGAGCTATGTAAGCTACTGTATTCTACATGCCGAGAATCCAGATTTAGCTAACACTGCTGTGACAGGCTTTCGTAACGTCTCTCTGTGAGTGGCAGGGGCTCATACGAAATCAGCCAGGGGTTCTGACTGCATGTAACAATATCACAGCCCGGAATCCTGTACAGAGCTATCAAGAACTCCTAAGGTCCGTTCGGGAGATTTTGCGGCGATACGAACAGAAGACACAGCTATCAAGTTCTCACCCTATCGTGCGTATGCTTATTAATGTTCTGGTGTAGTGCGTGCCCCTGATCATCGCACAGGACACGAATCTTCGATTTATACTGTGAACACTTCAATTCAATTCCCATACCCGTAAATCTACTGCGACTAAAGCTGAAGTGTTCCGACTCGTTTTTTTTTTCTGAGACAATAATATACTTATCTTACCTACTATGCGTAATTAGATGAAGTGATGTAGCAGTACTACGGGAACATTTGTGTATACTTGATACTCAGTTTATGACTGGATGGCTTAGCGTTCGTAGTACTAATAGCTTACAATCACCCAATTACTACATATGTAGTGTGCTTCAGTTGCTCAGTATGTATGTAGGCCGAATTCTACGTGTACATGAATATGTATGCCCATGCTTCCATGCCATTTCCTGTCCCCCTCAAGGAGCCCATAATATAAGGTTAGGGTTATGCATTACTCTTAGTCGAGAGGGAACAATTACCTTCCATCGAGTCTTTGGTTTGCCTGGGGAAGATTAGCACATACTTCATGAACACGAATCTGACAACACAAAATGACGTATCGGATACCCAGCCATACCACAATGCCTTTGCGTTGGCGCTGGCGTCGAGCTTGGGCACGCTCAACCCGAGCTCCCTCAGATTAAGCTCCTTCCGTGCTGCAAGTCACTTGCTGTGATCTCGGAAAGCTATGATAGAGTGTATCGCGTATTCCTATGGCAGCAGATGGACACCATCAATCGTGCTACCGGAGCGAGGGGGAACAGAGTTCCGTGATCAGGTCTACTGCGGTAGGCGTGCGGACGGGTGCCGCGAGGGCAATCATGTCGAACCAGATTGAGGTCTTGATGAGAAACCGGAAGAACCTCGAGCAACCTGGACCGCGGCCGGGACCGTCGTACGCCTGCAGAAGGAGAGGTAGAGTTAGCACGAGGGACGCTTGTCACTAGCCTACAACGAGTACGTACGTACGTTCGCAGGTATATAGCTGGTGATTTTTCTGCTGCGAAAATCGGACCATGGACAAGGCGCTCCGCGGGATGATGGGCTCGAGTGAATACAAGTTACTTAAACCCTAAATGGTAGAATCCGGACAGCCGTCGGCACTGGCATCTAGCTGTTGCATATCATATCATCCGTGTATTATTTCAGCCTGGGTAAACGTCCCGGTAACTATCCAGATTCGAGTAGAATTGACAAGTAGTAAGGGACAAGTTACAATGTCTATGCAAAGGAAGAGTATGCGTATTTCAAAGGATCGCTTGTAGCAGGAGTATGAAATGGTATTAACGATGATAGAATGATGGGTATGCCGTGCCAGCAAATCGAGGAAGTTGAGCTCCAATGTGTAAACATGTCCTTCGGCCACCAAGCGACAATCGCAAAAGATAAAATCGAGCTACTAGAAGGCGCAAAGAATGGCTCTAGGTGTTAGTGAGTGGATCTTACTATTAGGGCAAGTGAAGCAACTCCAATCCCGGTGTCTAGGATAACTGAACCGTGTTGGCATCAACGCCAAACTGGACGAAACGTAGTGGTGAGAGAGACGAGGAACGTAGGGTTCCTGAACGTGTTGGCATTATGGCCGAAGCTGACAAAACATAGTCGCGAGAGAGACGAGGAATCCGGGGTTCCCGGTCGGAGGAGGGAGGGATAGAACCAGAGTGGTCCTTGATTGTGCCCCGGGAGTCGCGGAAGACATCGATATTTTCTCTGGTTCCGTAGGTCGATAGGTCCCAAGTGTGCTCGTTATATGTGCGTAGTCCGTGGCAAGGTTTGCCATATGTCATGATCATCCCAGTCAACACCCAATTCACCTGTGCTTGTGTGTCGTTTCTATTTGGAAATGTGGCAGGATGGGGGATGTTGAAGGAAGTTGTGGACTTTGCGCCCGTTCCCGGCGTCCATGTCACAGATTCAGCCGTGAGGTGGTTGGTTTCCGAGTCACAATGCACTCGCTGAAGTTGAGATGAATGGTGACACAGATGCCAGTGTCAGAGCTGAGATACATGAGTACTTTCATTTGCCACACACCAATTCCATTGCCACGAAATTGCGAATAAGGGACTTCACTTCCTCCGTCGGCCCATCGACGTTGGATCGTGTTCTCTCTTTTGGGTTGTTTTTTCACATTTATGCTTTTGGTACGTGGGACCTGAAATTGTTGCTTGCACCGATAACTTGTGGTTCGCTGTAAGCTCTGCCAGGGAGTAGAAGACCGTCACTAACCAAGTGATGCAGCAGCCATGTGCTAATGCGTCTGAAAGGGTGGCAGTGTCAGTTTTTAGAGAGTTCCAGGTTCCGCAATGGCCCCAGTACTTTGCGGAAAATGAGCTGACGACCTCGTCGATAACAGCTCTCATGACAATCTTGGTTCCTGCCTGAACTCTTGACCGAAGATCATTATCACTTGTGAGTTGCGTTACACTAGTACCATCGTCAAGCACAAAATCATATTGTCCCTTGTCAAATACCACCTTTGGACCTCAGCTTCATCTGGTCGACATTGGTGTAGCAAGCCAGGGAGCATGTCACGAATTTGCTGAAAACGCATACTGTAAGCTTCCCCTCACTCATATTCGTGCCCCAGAAGCACACCTGAAAGGAGGCACACTGGTCAAGCAGCATTTTGTGTTCCCATCCTGTTGCGTCCACCAGTGTCACATAGCCAAGCGGGATGGTTGCTGGTAAGTGTCTCGCCTCCAGTGCCATCATGGTTTTCTCGATAGATTGAATTTTCGTTACCAGCACTTGCATAAGGTCGGCGACGTGGTGTGCATCGGCCTCGAGTTCCATTTAGGACAGGGCCTGAACAAAACGGGGAATAAGTCAGAAGCAACTGTATGAAGAAGCAACACGACCGTATATTCTAAGAGATGGTCACTAATTTTGCTGGAGCATCCGACTATCTGTTGTGTGAGGAGGGTGGATCCATGGATACGGCTTCGCATCTCTCTCAATCGTTTTGTGGTGTCCTCCAGCACTCTGATCATAAAGTAACGTTTCGACGTCAGAATGTTCCACGCGTACATCGTCGAGTGACATACTGGATCAATGCCCGTTGGCTAATTTCTTCGAAGGGTGTTCGAGCGGTTGGGGCGATGGCTATGTGACAGCTAAGATTGTACAGTCGGCGAGTGAGGTCGTTTAAGTCTTCCTTGTTCTGAATGCGATTCTATGATGTTGAGGCTTAGAATGAAGAACTGTACTTGAAAACGGAGCAAGGTCACATCAATGACTTAAAGGATAGCCAGCAATCGTCCAATCGCAGCCTTCATCGGAGCACAAGCGACCGGGATTGCCTCCGCGGCTGCCTGTACTACAGGTGCCGCTATCTGGAATGATGTCGGAGACATCATGGGCACAAGATGTGATGTAAGAAGTCTTGGAGGAAGATGGGATTGACGCTTGGAGACATAACACAGGATGCCCTTGCAGTACAAGAAGTGGAGAGAGAGAGAGAAATCCTGAGGTGTGTTGGTGCGTTTGTTTCGCTTCCGAGCAGTCAAAGGATTCCTGAATTTGATGCGAAAGGCAATGACCTTGCTGGTTTCCTCGCAGGGAACTTTACCAAGAGGATAAATCGGAGGAAACAAATGCGGTAGCAGGGGAACGAGGGAGGGGATATCAGTTGGACTTAAATACAAGGATGCATGCACTAGCACAGCCGTGCCTTGGAAACAATGTACAATGGATTCACCCTAAGGGAACTGTTGCAGCCGTTGAGGGCCGTGTTCTGTGATGGCGCTCACGAGCAAGATCTTCGGACGAGTTCTGATCATCAATGACGAGAACAGACGCGAACATGAATTTCATATGGACAGCACAAGATCGGCCAGGCTGCAATTGTGTCACGTGCTTTTGATTTTCTGGACGTGATTTGTTTACGCGTTGTTTGGCCAAATATGCTCCCCCACATGGCCAAACAAGTTCGACTTGGAGTCGGGTCTCTTCTTCCCTTAGCGTCGTCGCTGATAGCAAGTGCTCGCCTCCGTCGACTCCACTGCCGCCGTGACTGCGAGCCTTGTCACTTAGGGCCGTGAGTTTTCTGCTTCGTCGCTCTCAAGGTAAGTGCGCTGGACCCTATCCGTGACGCTGACCCGCTGACATGGCCGACGCAGAGATTCCATTTACTGACTATAAGACACTAACGAGGTTACTTGGCTAACGATCCGTTTTCGAATCAAGAAACTCAAACAACGCACACACGATCTAACGACGCTTACCGACCGTCAAGATTTGGGCACGTAACGACCTAGAACAACAACAGAAACCAATCTGCCTCTAGGGGCACAGTCTTCTTCCCCTTTCTATTCGTCTTTCTGAATTTCGAACAATTTGTTTTCATAACGACTTTGACGACTTCACGGTCTCAACCATTTTCTTGCACATAACGACTTCACAAGATTTATTGTTTTCAGCTCATGCCGTTGTCATTATTGTCACGAACTACTACGGACACTGTCCGCGTTCGCTCATCGTCCCCATTCACAACACCAGCAACCAAATCCCAGGTCCCCACCATTCGTCTTACTGCACCGACCCCTTCAGAACACAACGCGTCGCTCCATCCGCCTGCCGTCGGGCCATGGACAGCAGAAACCATGCCCGCTTCCCCTCGCACCCAAGTCATCTGGCGATCCTCCCCGAAAGCGCCTCATTCCCAAGAAGTCTAAGCTTGGACTTCTGGGATCCTCCTCAAGCAGAGGGGAGCGCGAGCAAGACTTTTCCGACCTGACGCGACGCGTAGGGGCCGCCGTGCAGAGTGGGACTGGCTTTGAAATCTACGTCGACCCTGCGGAGGACCCCGACATCGGGGATATACTCCTGGTAAGGAAGAAGAAATCACGCGCTGCCCTTGATGGGATGACATGGGGAACGCTGGGCGAAATCACGAATGTTCCTTCCGTCACGAAACCTAAGGAGAACAAGGAGAAGAGTGGGAAAAAGGAGAAGGAGGGATTGTTGAAGGTGAAGGTAGATGAGAACCAGAAGTGGTGGAGTATTGGCCGCGGAAGGAAAGACTCTAAAGAGAAGGAGGAGCAAACCAAATGTACACGTTCGAATTATGCATTTTTCATAAAGTACTAACGAGCCCCTAGCCCCTGATCCAGCTGCAAAACCAGCCGACACACGCACGCGCTTCAACTCGCTCGACTCGGGTATATTGCTTAGCAGTCCCATCCTCACAGAGCATCCCAGGGCGCCTGTAGAGTACCTCCAGGTTCCTACACCAACTGCAACTCTCGCGCCGCCTGGAGCTGGCGCATTGGGGAATGGCAAGGACTCGGTTGCCATGCGAGCTATGCGTTCCGTTCGTTCGCTTGCTCGTATTGGCAGCTGGGCTCAGCTCAAGGGCCCTACCACCACAGAAGACGCTGATAAGAAGGACAAAGAACAACCCGATGCGAAGAAAAAAAAGAAAAAGAAGGAGAAGGAGAAGACAAAGGTGAAAGAAACCGCACGCTACTCAGGCAGCAGCTTCGAAGCGGGTGCGCTGAGCGCAAGCCCCGCGGCGTCCAAGACTGACACCAAGTCATTGGGGAAGAGGAAAACGAGCATTTTGGGCTTGGGTTTACCGTCGACTATGCGTCTCCCCTCATCGCGGAGCGGGTCCACGGCTTCGTCAGTCCTGGCTTCGAATGGCGTTGGGAGTCGGCTCTCTGTCGATTCCGCTAATATATTAGGAGGCGGGATTCTGGCACGTGGACGATCTGGCTCGACAATGTCTACTGCGTCTTCCCTTCGACCCATGTCAACCGCTTCAGGTGCATCATCCAATTCCTCTATTTCTGTTCGTTGGGACGAAGCGGGGTTGGAGACTGTCAAAGAGAACCGAAAGAAAGAAAGAGAGTGCAAGAAGGCCACGAAGGAAAAAGACAAGAAAAGCAAGAAGTCCAAGAGCGAGAGGGATTCGAATAGGCAAGCGTCCGATAGTAGGAAGAGGAAACCGCTGGCGGCAATCTTCCCTGGGACGCTCTCTGAACGTCAAGAGGAGGATGCTCCTCCCAGTCCTGTTACACCCATTGTTACAGTGGAGGAGGCCACGATGGAGGAATGTTCGGCGAACGAGGGAAAGCTTTCCACTGAGACCCCTGTGAAGCGAACCCGCCGTCCAATGTCTGAACAACTTCTACTTCGGTCACGCCCCAAGGCAATTTACGATGACGGTGACGGTATGTACTAGTCGCGGTGCTTGATGCATTTTGTGGTTAAGCTTCTTGAACAGATAATGCTGTTATCTCGCTCCTGGATGCTGCGACCAATGATTTAGCCCAGCTCATCAATAGGCTGGATTTGGAAGCCACTCCAGGTAGTCGTGATCTGTCCCCGAGAAGTAATCGTTCACCATCGTTGCTCGACCAACATGGCAGTCCAACACCTTTGAAGAATCGCCTTACGATGGACAGTCCAGTCAGAGCTCTGCGCACTAATGTCGCTTCTATCACTTCGCTTCGACCTTATGGTCAGCCGTCTTCTACCGTCGGCCAGGTGCAGATTGGGCAAAATATCGCGCCCTGGGCAACCCTAAATGCCAGCATCTCACCGTCGAAGCCGTCCCCAGCGACCATCAGAGCTAAACCTAAGGAGGACCCGCCCACAGTTCGAATGACACACAAACGTACTTTGACTCCCGCCCCTGCATCTGATCCACCGCCAGTTTTCAAAGCTCTTCGACCAGCGGTATCCAAAGTCCCCAGGGCTGCTGCGACAGTTCGGTCATCTCCCGCTGTCCCACCGTTTGTCCTTGGTGTCGATGCCAAGGAGACAGATCGCTCTCCCTCGGCCTTTACGTTCGGTTCGGCGCATTCGAAATCAGATTCGCATGGTAGTTCAATGGCATCTCCTGTCTTCAAGAAAGCCCAGGGTCATGCCAGAAAACTGTCATCTCTTGTCCCCGTCCAAGATCAAAGCGGCAGTCTACCGATTCCTCCTGAAGCTAGACGCAACCTAGGCCTCACCGGAACGATGGGGGGCTCCGTCGGTAGCGTGGCAGAGCAGGAATTTGACGCGAGCGATCCTGATTCTGATATCCCAGACGAACTTCAAGTCATCCTGTCTAACTCTGATCAGGAGCTTGACGATACACTGTCTTTCAATCCTAACATGCCCTTACCCTCGCCCGGACTGCCTCCGGAGATGCCCCTTCCTGTTCCAGGTTCCGAAACGGTGTCACAAGACGGAGTACCTGAATTTCCTGTTTTCCGTGCCACGTTAATCGACGAAGATGACCGCCAAGCGGATATCGAGGAAGCCGGAGCATTATCGTCCTCTGAAGAGGACACTAAGAAATCATTCGATTTCACTGGGGAGATCAATAAACTCAACGAATCTGGCGCATCGCACCGACGTAGCTTCGTGGAGCAATTGGAGTGTGCCTTCCGCACCCCTGCCAAGATCGACCTTCGTTATGACTTTGGCAATTTCTTCCAGAGTGATGTCCCGCCTGTGCCCAAGAACTCTCTGCAGGACGAATTGTCAAGAGCCGGACAGAGTACATTTAGCCTCCCAGATGACTACGAATCTCGCGAACTTCTCCCTGCTGATTTCCCTGCCGACGTCAATGCTGAGGCATCGCTCCTCCCTGGCACCGATAGCTTCGCCTCCACCGCGTCAGACGACGACTTGTTGAACATCATCGCGCCTCAAATGTTGCGCAAACCTAGTTCAATGGGATCTCGCACTTCGGATGGTGAACTGAACAGGGATTTCAAGTTTGGTGGCAAGCCGTCGCCCACAGTCGTTGAGGACGACTCCCAGGAGGATGCGCCACTTACTTTGTCGGACATCATTCCTCCCCCAACTGTAGCCCACTCGCTGTCGACAGGAAGCCTAGCTGCCGATGAAAGCTCACTCTTGAAATCTATCTTTGCTAAGGCCGTGGAAATCCCGTCCCAACCACCTCGATCTCGCTTGCAATCGGATTCCAGCTCTCAACGCAGTGCCCGAGGTGTCGTACGAAACTCCCTTGTTGGAAACGGTCATCAACGCAATTCATCCGCCCTCAGTTTTGGAGGCTTTGACTCGTTCACTGAGATTAGACGAGGCTTCGAGTTCCATGACAACCGTCCGGGCTTCTATGCAGGTGCTGGTGCGACCTCGAGACACGGGAAACACGAATCAATATTTAGCATCGCGTCGGTATCTTCGTACGGTCGTGTTTTGCATGCTGGCTCGGTTGATCCGTTCGACTACGGGTCACTTGCTGCGATTGCTAACCAAGATAAACGGCGGTACTCGGACGAATTCTCGTTCTCTATGTCAACAACGGTTGATGATACATTCTCCTTCATTCACAAGCAGCCCCAACGAAGGCGAGTCGACAGTGATGCATCCAGTTTCTACTTCCGTGCCCCTGCGCACTCGCAACTGCACCCTTCTAACCGCAGCCACGGCCGCCACGAATCTTCTGCATCTGTCACCTCTCTTGGTCCCCCTATCAGCCTTTACAACCGCAGCTTTGCTCATCATCGTCGTGGTGATTCCAGCACTAGCATCAGCAGCGTTGCGCAATCTTACGCATTATGCGGTGCTAGCGGTGGTCGGGCAGCGTGGGCCAGACACCGGCCAGATTTCTCTGTGGATTCGGTGCTTAGTAACTACTCGGATGCTCGTCTCGGGCGCCCAGGATTGGGGGATAAAATGCTCGAGTCTGCGTTCGACCATGGCATGCCACTCACGTCCATCTCCGCCTCACCCCCAGAAAGTCTCGCGGGAAGTGTGCGCAGTGAACGGATTGCCTCTGCAGAATTTGAGAACCGTACTTCATATGACTCTCTCATGGACAGCCGTAACGAGTTGCAAAAGACCACCGCAGAGGACTCGCTCTTTGAGAAGACAGGCTACAGAACGTCCGTTTCGTCGTCGGATTCCATGTTCTTTGGCAAAGATCCAATGGACGCCCGACATGTCGACCTTCCTCGCTACCGGCCAATTTCAAGTTTCAGTGTCTCCAGTACACATAGTCCCGCGCAAGAAGATGACACGATGATCAGTGTAAGTGTCATCGTTTCCGTTAAAGTAATCTTCTTAAACTTTGCTTAGATGCTTGGAGGCGGACATGTTCGACGCTGCTCGGTAGGCTCTATGATCGAGACTTCACCTTGCGTTCGCGTGGAGAGGCGCAAACAGTTACCGAATGATCTGCTACCTAAGCCAGTTTTCAAGGGCACGAAAGGAGACTACGACTCTCCCGATAAATCTCGAGTCATTGAATCCAAGCCATCGATCGCTTCCACAATCAATTCATTCAAGTTTGGAGACGAACGCATGATCCGCGCTAAGCACGGTCTCTTGGAACGTCAAAGCTTGGAGAATACTGCTCTCGCAGCCAACGGTGAAGATACTTCCGGGTCTTGTACGTGTTATTTCCATCTACACATTGTGTTTCCGTGTTTAATCTCGGCTTGTCCTAGTCCGGATACAACCAGTTTTTACCCGGCCGCCTGTCACAACGCGTTCCCGTTCCAGTACGTGCACTTCCAGCTCCGGTGCGGAGACTCCTCCACTCTCTATTTGCGATGGGTACTCGTCGCTTTCCGAGGGTTCCCAGTCGAGCATTGATTTGGCTCAACTCAATCACATGCTTGCAAATGTTACGCATCCCGCGGCCATTACTGCCTTTGATCGAATGCGGCCGCGTGCTCGCGGCCATGGGCATCGTCGACGCATTTCCCAAGCTCGGGCATCGAGAACGTCAATATACGAAACTATCGAAGAAGAAATGACCAGTTCCCTGTCTCCCTTTAGTTCTCCCGATCGATCCACCCCTGGATCTGCAACAAAGACGGTTCAGCTGCCTGAATCTGTGACGAAGACCATGGGTCCATCGCGTGTTTTCGTCGTCGACCCTGAGACATCTTCGGTCGATTCAATTTCTCCATGGGACGAAGAAGGGGGCATCACGGTCCTTCGGAAGTACTACGCTCTGAGGGATGAGGCGCAGGACGCTGTCACCGAGAGCAAGCGCACCTGGATGGACACTCCATTTTCCATTTTTGCAGTACAATGTACGTCGGTGGTCACCGACGTGGGGGTAGTTCGAGACTGATCTGTTGTTTTCTTTCTCAGCGTTCGATCCACCACGTCACCGGTCTGGGATGCAGGCATTACTTGAACATTCGATCCAGAATTACCAACCTCTCCCATCGGAATTGGGTCCACGCCGTATGAGGTCAAGAGCTAACAGTCGTCCTTCTCCGTACCCGCGTACGATAATGACGTCGCATACGCCCTCTCCAGCCGCAGAACAACTTAGGCCCGCCGTTGTACATCCCATCGCTAAAGTGGCCGCCACCGATATTGTTCCAGCCCAACCAAGATGTAATGCACTCCAAGAAGTTGCCATCGATCCCAACGTTAACACCTTATCTGAACATATTGAGAAGCTTGCAGACGAGAAAGCTCTGGCATCGATGGACAAGCCTGAGCAAGTCTTCGGACTGCCTCCCCGTCCTCGCGTCGCCTCCCAAGCCCGACGCGCAGCACTAGGGTGGAGCAAGAGGAGTGCGGGAAAAATTGGAGCAGAAAACAAGGAGAATAACACGAGTCTAGGCAACGTCAGCCTCGGTACCGGCCTGGCGAATGTCTCACAAGGCATCATCATGACGTGCGTATGCGGCTGGTTTTATTTCTTCTCATTGATTAACCGCTTTCATAGACCATCGGAAACCCTTCGATTGAGTCGGCCCCGGCCTCGCGGGCGTCCAACTCCGGCGTCGACGAGGCCCATCCGCGTATGACCTGGGAACACTTCTGCGACGGTTTGGTGTATGCCCTTTCCTGATCCGCGCAATAATTCTTGTCCCGCACTACTGTTCATTATAACCTCGCTCTCACATCTGACCCATGCTATGAATATTGCCCTATGCTGTATCCTTTATCTCTGTATCAAACTCGTGACACAAGTTCGTACTATAGTGAGCCGTTCTATTCTTTGCGAAGTACTATGTCGTAGTACATCTGACATTTTGAGAATGGAATGGTTCTTGTCACAACCGTAACCTGGTTTCGTGGTAAATTTCTGTACAGCAAACAAGTGTGAGCTTAGCTATGTATCCTAGAATATCAAGAGTCCAGAGAATGAGTGTGTACCAAAAGTCATGATTGTAACTATACGTGTTTCGTACAACAAATTTCATTTCGTCCAAGAAATCTCAAAGGGAGTAGTATGCGGTTCTAATCTAACAAAGCAAAGGATTTCCCCTACCAGGGACCCGGCAGAGGAAACCCGGGCGTCTGCTGGATTTGAAACCCACCACCCGTGCCAGAAGGTGAGTAAGGGGCAGTGGATGGGCGTCGCACACGATTAGGCACTGGCTGGGGCCGCCGCAGTTTGCGGGGAGGCTGTTGTGGTGCAGGATATAAGGAGTGCTGAGGAGCACAAGAGTGAGGTGATATAGGTGAAGACGAGGGTGAACTGAGCGAGGAATGTGTGGGTAATGGCTGAAGAGTGGAATCGCCGGTGGGCCTACGAAACATCCCAGTAGTATTTGTTGGGTATGTATGTATAGCTGACCCGTCTGATGGGTGGTAATGGTTCCACGAGGAACTGTCACCGGGTAACTGCATGGACATATGGCTGGTATTCTTTGATGGAAACGGTGGCGGCGTTACCCGAGTCGATATAGGAGAGATCCCAGCCTTTCTGCCACCGTGCATGGCCATCATCCCGTCGGTAGCAGTTGTCAATGGGAACATAAGTGGAGGTAGAGGTGGAGGTGGAGCGAGGATGGTGTTGGCATGACTGCTAGTGGAACGAGTGCGTTCACGGATGGAGTTTGCTGGTTGACGGCCATAAGAATGACCATACAGATCCGTCGCGAACTCGATATTCAAAGTTGTAGACGAGGAGCGCGATGATATGGTGGATTGTCGGCCAGATCGCTCGTTACGACCTACGACAGAAGGTGGTTCGCAGACCCGCTGAGTAGTACCATTGGCGGTGGACACAGCGGGCGATCGAGCACGCTGTCCAGGATCTGGAAAGCTTACAGGCGGTGAATTTACAGAAGTATACGATGGGACTACAGGGAACGAATCCCCGCTGGCGGGAGAATTAAGTTGAGCACTCAATTCCCCATGTCCTGCATCTGCATCCGCAAGGTCAGCATCCAGCTCCGGAGGAGGGGGCGTTTCATCTACTAGAGTATATGGAGGAACTTCCTCTGCTACATCCTCCGAGTCCGGGGGCAGCGTACCGAGGGTGGGTGCTGTATCTGGGGTAGAAGACTGGATTACATTGACGGGTGCGTTTTCAGAGCTCGGTGGCACTTCGCTAGGCCCACCGCAAGGGATTGTCCAGGACGATGCTGGGGCCTCGTATTGGGGTGCCTCGATCACGGGGCTGGGTATTGGGTGGTCATGTGAATGCGGTGAGGTACGTGACGGAGCCAACACTATTGTATGTGAAGGCACTGCTCTTTTCTCGTCGGAAATTCCCGGATATCTATCCCATTCTTCACCACGGTGAGGTGAGGGGGGAGAAGACGATAAGAGAACTGCTTTCGAACTGAAATCTCGACTCAAAGCTTCGATTTGTTGCTCAGCAGGCGGTGGTCCGAGGTTGATGTGGCGCCGGTTCACGGTACGATGATTGGCAGATCTGGGAGGCGCCACAGACTCATCCAAATAAGCGATATTTTGTGACGGGAGAGATGGCTCCTTCTCCTTGGGTTTTGCGCTGGCATAAAGACGTTGTGCATATGTCCCAGCAGAAGAAGAAAGGGAGCTCCGGATTTGAGTGCCCGAAAGTATCGAATGGACAGGCAACTGGCTTCTCTCCCGAGAAGCAGCTTGGCGCTCGATGGTATATACTAAACTATTCTGCCGCGAATCCTGCGGGAATGATGACGCAGGGGAACTTCCAGGGGGTAGGAATGTTGGTCCAGACTGTGCTCCTGCGGGGTAGCCGTGCGCTGGTGTAACCCTGGTCCATGAAAGCATGGAAAAATAAATGGAAAACGTAGAAAAAGAAGAAAAGAAAAGAAAAAGGTAACAACTCACCCTCGTGTGTGCGGTTCCAGTCCATAAGGGTGTCCTTGTCTGTTAATTCCAGACATCTCGAGTCCAACTGGCAACGAAGTGGTGAATGGGAAAGAAAAAGGTGCTAGAGTCGGCACCCTTATCCCTGTCGTTACAAACCCCTTGTAAAGGCACCAGGTGTCCATGTCAGGAACCTCAGTTGGCCAACGGGTATATAATATGCCCATTGGCAGTCCTTAATGAAATTGTTTCTATCAGCCTCCGAACCGACGATCGGGTCTAAAGACACTAAGTCATCACAGTGGGTTCCGAGTTGATTGTCTGCTTGACCCAGGCCAACGGGTCCCTGCAAGTGCTCGGTAAACTATAGCCTTGCCAAGGTGAGGCGAGAAGTCAAAATGTCGAACATCATCCTCGTGTCAAGGATGCTGTGCGGCCCGAGCTCGGTCATACCGGTGTATAGAGAGAATACCGTGGGGATATTGAATACTGATCAGTTGATCAACAATTGGGTATCACACCATCAGCGGCCGATCAGGTGGCTAAGTGATCAGTGCAACCCAAAAGATGCCTCCGGATGCTATGAATTCATGACTAAAAGATGCATATTCGTAGCAGTCATACGAAGAATTGTGTTGCGGTCAGCGGGTATAAGGAAAGAACTACAAGCTAAAGCGCGATGACAACAGAGTAACAAAGATTAACTTGTCAGTAATTACGCTTGGTACACTCAGTAGGGTATGACTGATGGAGAAAGTGGATAAGTGAAAAGCAGGGAAAGATGTACAAACGAAGGTGATATTGGACGTCGCGAGCCAGGAAAATCACAGGACGCAGACGAGATCCGAAGCACATCCAGAAATGGTTCACATTTGCACGTTGAGCCCACCCCCACCCGTTCCAAATGCGCTAACACCTCGAATGACATCTGCAATGAGTTGCCGTGGGGAACTCCCAGAAAATGACCTGAGAAGTCTCCTTGAGTGCGGTGACGTGGACAAAACCGGCGAAGCCGGGGGTGATACGGTGGAAGCGGACGGGACCTTCTTTGGCGTAGAGGGTAAAAGCGAGCTTGATGTGTTAAGTTGGGGTGCCTTCACGGGGCACATGCTTTCTGGTGACGTAGACCGAGGGATCTGAGGGGTTATTTCCCGGTTCCTTTGACGATTGGATAATGGTGGTAGAGAGGCGAGGAGGTCTGGTGACGGCGCACGGGGAGGGTCATCTGTCAAGGAGATACTAGACGCCAATGCCTTTGGAAGGCTTAGCAAGGACGATGAGGCTGCAGGGGGACAAAGATATTGACCATGAGTGGACGATTCTGCCGAGTTTGATGGCGAAGAACTGTTCGTTAAGTTCTGGCCCCGGCCAACTTGTCCGGCTTGTAAAGAGGATAAGGAAGCAGAGGGGCTTGGAGTAGCAGAAGAGCACGGCGAACGCCTCGGAGACGGGAGAGGAAAAAGTTGATCCTCTTCGTCGTTATCATCAACCTCTTCTGATATCTGATAAGTAGCTAATTGCGGTACTCGAATCGGGGACAAACGAGGACGCCCATGAGCACTTGAGGGTGAGTCTGGTGCAACAGGAAGCGGCTTCTCCACGGATGCACTAGTATCTCCTGGCACGTTCGAGCTGGTGATAGAGGCGCCGTCAATTGATCGGCGACGCTTGTCAACCTCATCCACACTAATTGGGATGTCGCGAGCGAGAGAACCATAGAATGCGGAAGCAGCACTGCCAGCTACTGTGATCGTGCGGGGCTGACTATCCGTACTGTGACACCGACGATAGTATGCAGCGGGTGAAAAACGTTCGGTCCATGTGTCTCCCTGTGAACGTGCTGCATCCGTGACTTCCTGACACGCCGCACAACATGGTCGAAGTGGTACTGTAATTAGATCTGTCCGCATGGGTGAGGTTGGTGATTTACTTCGTGTGCGTCGACTTGTGGATGGAGACCCAGGGACAACAGTTGCGCCAACTGAGACGGAGCGATGTACCAAGCATGGAGTAAGAGGCATTGAATCAGTGCATCTCGTAGGCGACTGCATCCTCGTCTGGAGTCTATGATTGCGTAGTTAGATCGTGGTGTGCAATGCTTATCTCCGTGGATAGTTTTACAGACCGTGGAAGTGAAAGTTTGAGTACGACATGCTTATCAACCTCCGGACAAGCAGGCTGGCGAGATGAGTCTGGGCCCGAAGAGCCGGATGTAGAGCCCCGCCGCTTCCACAAGGGCACCGAGTAGGTTTTGGTGACGAGGCGGGGCCGTCGTGAACGAGGACTGAGTTCCGGAATGACGACGCACTGCGAGTCGAAGCGGACGGAGCTTCGCTCGTCGTTGGGGTCGGCGTGCATCGACACAGCTGCACCCTCAACAGCTACCACTGTTAGCGTTGACATCACAACATACGGAGAGCGACTCGGGCCAGACAACGTTGAAGAAGAAGAAAAAAAAACAGTTAATAGACTGGGAGCTCCGCAAAAACGATTGTCATACGACTTCGGGGCAATTACGTACTAGTGCTGATGCTTCACCAAATCGAACTGGTAATTTGTTGGTACTACCATCAAAATTCTGCCTGCTCCTCCAAAAGGTGTAGAGTTCTGATCTCGCCAAGTGGGTCCATTCACACAGCACTAAAGTCCATCTCGTGTTTCATCATACCGTCATGGTGGTGATCTCATGTCTGAGGTGATCCCATCATCGATTCCATGGTATGCTTCGTGCTGATATGATGTCCAAGAGAAGTCGAGTACTTATGTAATGGTTTATCCTTCTGCAGACCGGTCTGACTGCCGGTGCAAGGGAAAGGGTAAGTTTCCGTAGGGCGAACATGGTTACGGTGCGTGGGCTGAATCCCGATATAAGAATTCGGTTGAGTTGCTGCTGGAACATTTCCGAGTCGGAAATTATTAGGCTGGGCCTGCGCTGGGACGGCCTCGTCCTTGTAGTCTTCGTTCGACGGAAGACAATCGTTGCCTGTCTCGATTTCATCATTAGCGTGGAGAATTGAATCAGATTGCTGTGGCCACTATGCCCGGAGTATGCCGAAGGGCCGTGGTGAGGGGGCACCGATATCATTGAATCACTGGAGAAGCCCAAACAAAGATGGTGTCTTTTTGCCATCTGTCATGCCGCCGCCGGTCTGCATAATGGAAAAGCGCAATCGAATACGCACACGACTTGTTGTAGAACCGGTGTGCACCTCTCAAGACGCCCAATGCCAATCGGATACGTCCGTCGAGGTGCCTCGTTCACGGCCCGCGGCCCCCTCTGAACTGTAAAGGGTTATACTGCGATGTCACCATTTCTCCCACTCTCTTGCGCTTCTTGGTCGGGGCCGAAATCTCCTGCACGCACTGGTGAAACATACTTGGGGACAATGGATCCCCTTATATATTTATGTATATGTAAGTATGCAGTTGCTGTGTGTCTAGACCCCAGACCCACTGACGAACCGAATTGCAGTTGTGACCTTTACGTATGTGAGGCTTCAAGCAGTCGCAGCACAGTGGCCAATCGACATCCGTCATGATAGATTTGTAGCACACAGGGTAAAGCAGCGACCAGAGACCGGATGGACCGTATCGATACCACGGACGAAAACACCTGCTAGGTTCTGGATCTTTCATTTTGCGCGCCTGCGCAGCAACTTTTAGGCTTCATTTTGCAAACACGTTGCGCATTATATATTGGGCACTAGTGCGGTTTCTAGGCCATCTCCTCTTACCCTCGAGCACTCCCTGAATCAGTAACAAGTGCCAGGAGAAAAATCTTCCAAAATGCGAGTCGCCTCACTTGTGATCGCAGCGTTCGTGGCCGTGAGCGGTGCTCAGAACATCGGCCCTGGTCCATACAGCGTGGACGCCATTCAAGCGTTGTACAATGCCTCCGTCGTATCACAGTGTGCGACTGCTTGTAGTGTTCTATCGAACAATACCAGCCTGTCGGCAAGCAATGTTACTCACTCGTTGTGTCAATTCTAACGATGCATATACATATACAGGGCTGTCAAGCATCCCTGTGCTGTACATCGAATTTCATTCAAAACTACCGTAACTGCCTCGAATGCATAAGTCAGCTTCTCGACGGCTCCAGTACCACTAGTAGCACGAAAAGCGCAGTTAACCGTAAGTCTTTCTCTTCGTTGCACGATCGGAGGTTAAACGTTAATCCAAATGTCGGATAGAGCTATTGACGTCCTGTATTCAAGTGGGTGCCCTGCCTCCACCCCCGACGGCGTCTCAAAACCACATAAACCACACTTCATATGCTATGGCGTCTCAGACAGGGTCCCAGTGTTGGTGACAATCTCACTGTGCTACATTCAACTCCACTGACTATGTCCCAGTCTCCCCAACTAACTCCCCTGCGACTGGCACTGGCGTCGTCTCGGTACCCCCTGCCAGCAGTGTGATCAGCCCCACTAGCCCCTTCTCCGGTTCTCAAACTAGCACTACATCAGTGGGTGCGACGCCCTCGTCCACGAATAGCGCAGTCAGAACGACTGTTGGCCAGGCTTACAGGCGGTATCGCGTCAGTGCTTGCATGGGCTATTCTCCAAATGATGTGATCAAAACCTGTGATGCCTGCACTGAGTCGGACTCAGCTGATACACATGCATAATCCAGATGGACACTTCCACCAACCCCTTCCCCCTGCTGGATGTTTGCCTGACATCAGCATTCTTCTGTGGTATCTCTGCCGTTCGTTGTTCCTGGGGTGATTGTGGTTTCCTTGACGTCCACTTATTATCTGATTGACAACCATACGTACTCAGTATCGTTCCCTGCTATTTAGTCATGTAGTGCAAACTTATACCTGTTGTCAGTCACCAATGAGCACAGTTAACCACATTAATGCCCCAGTTACTTCGTCGCATTAATACAAGACACTTAGTGCCCTTCTTTCCCCGTTTGCAGGAGATATGTATGTGGCATGGATATCATCAAGGCGATCCCTGTGAGTAGGTCCACGAAGAGATCGATGGCAGGCAAGTGCTACCTCGTGTGTTCGTCATCCAACTCTCAGTTCATGCGGCTTCGTAGGTGATCTGCCAAAAGAAGTCGAGGAGGCAGTGAAGAAAACCTCACCGTTTTGCACCGCGGATCAATTCGTTTTCCTTCCGTATGACATCATTTATGGCCCAGGATCATCCTTCTTTCCATGTTCTTGACTCTAAATAATCTGGGATCGAAGCATTGATGACACGTTAATCAGACATGATCGGAAGGTTAACTTAAAGAGTCCGCGACTATGGATTCAGACGTATGTAACAGGAAGAGGGAGGCACCTTCTTCGGCGTAAGAGGTAAATGCGAGATTGACGTGTTAGTTTAGAGGTACCTTCCCAGGAAAGATACTTTCTGGTGACGTAGGCTGGGAGATGTGAGAGTTTATTTCCTGGTTCCCTTGACGGTTGGATAACGGTGGAGAGATTGGACACAGGGAAGCAAGGATGTTGACCGTAAATGTACGATTCTCCCGAGCAGGTTGATGGCGAGGAATCTAGCCGTCAAAGTCTGTCCAACTTGTAAATAAGATAAAGAAGCCAAGGGCCCTTGGAGTCGCGGAAGAACATGGCGAACGCCTCGGAGACGGGAGAGGGAAGACCTGATCTTCTTCACCGTCATTATCAAATTCTTCTGATATGCCATGCAAAGCTAATTGTGGTACCCGAATCTGGGACAAACAAGGACTCCAATGACCTCTTGAAGGTGAGTCATTAATGGGATGTCGCAGGTGAGAAAACTATAGAATGCAGAGGCAGCACTACCAGCTACTGTGATCGTGCGGGGCTGGCTGTCCGTGCTGTGATACCGACAATGGTTTGCAGCGGATGAAAAACGTTCCGTCCGTGCCTCCCTGCGAACGTGCTGCATCCGTCACTTCCTGGCACGCTGCACAACACGGTCGAAGTAGTACTGTAATTGGATTTGTCCGCTTTATGCGCGTCGACTTGTGGATCGAGATCCAGGGACATCAGTTGGCACAACTGATGATGGAGCGATGTACCAAGCATGGAGTAAGAGGCATTGAATCAGTACATCTCACGGGCGACTGCATCCTCGTCCGGAGTCTAGGATTGCGTAGTTGGATCGTGGTGTGCAATGCTTGTCTCTTTGGATAGTTTTACAGACCGTGGAAATGAAAGTTCGAGAACGACATGCTTGTCGACTTCCGGAAACGCAGGCTGGCGAGACAAGTCTGAGTCTGAAAAGTCGGATATAGAGCCCTGTCTCTTTCACAATGGCACTGAGTACGTTTCGGCGACGAGGCGGGGCCATCGTGAACGAGGACTGAGTTCCGGGATGACAATGCGCTGCGAGTCGAAGCAGACGGAGCTTCGCTTGTTGATGGGATCGACACGCAGTTGCACTCTCGACAGCTACTACTGTTGGCATCGACATCGCAACCTATGTCGGGCCAGACAACGTTAAAGACAAAAAACAGCAACAACTATTAGACTAGGGGCTCCGCAAAAATGATTGTCATAGGACTTCGAGGTCATTACCTGCAAGTGCCGATGCCATATTACGGTCGGCGAGAAGGATCAGCTTAAGAATTCAGGGGTTGAGGCCTCGTGAAAACTGGCTATGGCCGGGTGTGATGTGAGGTGACAGGATGTGAAAGTAATGTGACAAATATGACATGGTCAATAATCAATATTACTCCTTCCGTTTTGGGCTATGTTGTGTGTTGCGATAGGTATGTTGGATGTATCTTTTACACTACGCACTGGACGTACACAGTGCTGTGTCCACAGCGTTTCACACGGTTCCAGTCTCCTCAATGCCTGTGACAATGACTCCATACATATGTATCTGCAGCAGGTACAATTTTGGCCAGCCTCACCCAGTATTGAAGGCAACTTGGTACTGCCATTTTGCTGAGGCTGGGACCGAGGAAGAAAAAGAGTGCCTTTGATCGTCCCAAGTCAAACCCCACACATGCTGTGGCTAGTTGCATGCTCATCGCACAGCTGTTATCCAAGCAATGGCAAAAAGGTGACTCGAGACTATGGATAATGGACACTGTAAGTGTGCACACACTCAGGAAAATGTGAGTCAATTTATCTTTTATTCTGTAAAATACTCACTTTGAGATCAACCATAGGAATCAGCAGCTCCCGAGGGAGATGGACCTATGACACCTGTTGATCCATGTGCAGAGGAAGTAAGTAACCTCAGGTGACTGTAAACTTACATGGTCTAATTTCCAGTGTAGGAATTACCAGCTCCTGGATTGTATGGACATGCAACACCTGTTGATCCATGTGCAGATGAAGTAAGTAACCTCAGGTGACTGTAAACTTACACATTCTAATCTCCAGTGCAGGAGTTACCAGCTCCTGGATTGGATGGACCTGTGACACTTGTTGATCCACGTGCAGACAAAGTAAGTAACCTCAGGTGACTGTAAACTTACATGTTCTAATCTCCAGCACAGGAATTACTGGCTCCTGGGTTAGATTGAATGGCAGCATTTGCTGACATTCAGTATGAGCAGAGGACACATCCTATCATTGACATTGAAACTGTTGCACAATCTGCTGTACTTTCACATATGTGCCAGTCCATGGAGTTTGTATTGGCACTCAAAAGTGCTTCACTCAATGATCAAGTTGTGAAACTCAGTATCAATACTATTGAGAGGTTGCAGAACCCCCTCCCCCCAATGAGGTCATTACCATCAACAATCTGGGTATGTGCTTCTCTGTCATGACATACCACCAGAGTCTGTAGATTTAGACCTAGCAATATGGCAATTACCACAAGCACAGTTACACAACTCATGGCAACTACCAGTCCCTGCACTCAGCACATTTGACCAAACCCCCAGCAACTACCACACAGCCACCACACAGCCACTCAATAGTGTTTACCTGGTGTTTAGTAAGCTGTAGGACATTGGTAGATTTCAATCCCCACCAAATATATTTGCAAAATCAAATCATATTAAACCCTACAATAGGATTTACATTCGGAAATAGCAGGACAATCTTCCAACTGTGGATATTGACTAAATAGGCAGGTGAGTAAGAACAGTTACTCCTCATCTGTCCTGTCATCCTCCAGATCATCATCCCCCACCTCATATGCACTGCCATTTGGATTGTTGTCCTCCAGATCATTGTCCCCCACCTCATATGCACTGCTATTCAGATCATTGTCCTCCAGATCATTGTCCTCCAGATCATTGTCCTCCAGATCATTGTCCTCCAGATCATTGTCCTCCAGATCATTGTCCCCCAACTCATATGCACTGCTATTTGAATTGTCATCGATGCTGAAAAATTTGGTGCAATCTTCAACCTCAACATTGGTCCTTGCTTGATGCCAAAGCATGCTAAAATGATCAGAGAGCTGGTGTTGCAGAGTGGCCTGTCAATCTGCATATGCACAAATTCCATCCCTTATGAGGCTATCAACCATGACACCACTGGGGGATTCCCTACACTGCTTCCACCACTGTGCCTTGTACTCAAGGAATTTTTCCATGCACTGCATTTCTTCCAGCAAAAACTCAACCTCTTCAGACCAGCATGCCACTCAGGCACAGGCTTTTGCCCACTCTATGTGTAGTGCTTAAAACAATTTTGATTTAGTGGAATGATGTGCTGATGTAGATATTGATGTACCTTTGATCATCCCCTCATCACTGCTTGCCACTGTCCCACATGCCCAGATCCAAGATGTTGTTCTAAATCCCTCACCCAAGCCATGTCTTAAAGCCTCACACTGCTTCTTGGACCTTTGGCAGCTGTTGGAACCAATGATGACATTCAGATCATCAATGTCACCCAATGTAGATGCAGTCAGTCCACACACATCCTTTGTTTGCAGTGGCCACAGCTCTTCCTCCCAGGGACCTGTACCATGGAGCACAAGGAGCACTGCATGAGTTACCCAGTACTTCTGTATGACTCTGCCAATCTTTGAGGAGAGTGTGTTTATCAGTGTCTTTGTGTGAGTATTTGCCCTTTGGCCACAGATGTTCATGTTTTGATATTTGGTGAAATGAGTCTGCATATGTAGGTAGTTTTGAAGCTTGCCAAGGGCATCATGACATTGTGCCTCTCTAAGTTGCGCTTCAATGACAGAAATGTCATCAGAGATAGACATCTGCTCAGTTGGAGACAACTCCGAATGGCATGCACAAGCAGATGGCTTCAGCTTCAGCTTCAGGATCTTTGGACCATTGAACAATACTCTCAATGCCAATCATGTAAACCACTTGAATTTTGTGAAACTGTCAGATTTGATGGAAGAGCACAGCATGATGTCATTGTAAACTTGTGTCTTGAGTCACCAAAGCTGTAATTCAGCTGATATGTCTGACTTCAGACTTCGCCTAGCATTGAATCTAGGCTTATCTGTCTAGGCCTGAAGGAAAATCATGTACTGAGTTTCTTCAAGTGCCAACCCAAAAGAAACAAAGCTGCTTGGGGACATTTTATGGCAGCTGAATTCCCCATGAGCAGCCACAGCCTTGTCATCAGTGGCCATCTGGGAGCAAACCTCAGCCTTGGTTGGAACTGCAATCACATCTGGTGACCCAATGTACATAACACAAGGAACAGGAATACATACAACACTGAGTGGCAGCATATGGATTTGGTTTGGATTGATCAGCTTCCCATGCAGTGATCATAGTGGTCCATGTCTCCCTTTGTGAAGCACCAATAGGTGTGTTAAATTCCTCCAGGGTAGTGCAATGATGAGATCACTCAGCAATGGCAGCTTTGAGCCTGTCATGAAGTAAACATCCTTCACTGCTGTTAGTACAGTACACCATTTCACAAGATTCATGCTTACTGAGACCAACAAGCTTTCTGAAGTTGTGATGGCTGAAGTGGTCATTGATGGTATCATGCCTTGCACTGGATGTCATTTCTTTTGTACTATTTGTGACACAATTGATCTCCGACCAGTTATGCTCTACCCCTTTGCCATCAGTGTGGCCAACACCAGGCAGAAGATTGAGAGAATGGGGTATAGCACATGAGGCAGAATGGGCAGGGGCATGGAACTTCAGAATTCTGAACACAAACAACAATGCAATGATGGTGAGGGGGAGACATAGATGTTTGGGGAGCTGGTCTATCCTTCAGGCAAGGTTGAGTTTCCATTAACAGGCAATGTCATAGGAAATGACCATGGAAAGGAGCAGAAAGGGGAAAATAGCCAAAAAAAAAAATAGTCCATGTTACAGTAGCTGGGAATTTATGAATGGATGTGACTGGAAGGTGTATAGATGTGTACTTACCACTTGCCTTTTTGCAAATTGCCCATGCCACATGGGTGTACAAATTCATGTCAGGTGCAAAGGCATAGTCCTACACCCATTGTATGAAGACCAGTTGCAAACTTGGTTTCAGTGTGAGCCATAGACCTGAAACTGTTACATGTGCTGATCTAAATCGAGAGTCAAGGGCAGGAAATCAAAAACATATTACATGCAGATGCACATCTTCTTGTGTAGGAAACTGAAGTACATGCTCATTGTAAAGGCCATTGGCAACAAAGTAGGCAAGGCTGGTATGCAGGCCTGGATCCTGGTCAGATGCACATGCACAGTTCTTGAGCTGAAAGTTGGCATCTATTGCGATGATGAGCAAATAAAGAAACCTAAGGCCTTGATTAGAATATGTGTAGTGCCCAATATGTCCAGCAAACTTTTTAGAGGGCTCTGCATCTTTCCAATCATCAGGCAAGTTCATGCCTGGTTGTGGGCATGCAGGACACAACACAGTGAGCCCACCAGGTTTGGTGGTATGAATACCATCTTGCTTGCTTGCCCTCCCTGCTCTTTTGAGGAGTTTCATGTGGCAGAACTGATGAACCATGCACAAAAAGGGATGATACTGACTCTGAGATGCACATCAGTGGGGACTAGACTAAGGGCCCATACCACATACCTTTAGCATATTAATACCTGTATTATCTGTAAGACACTCCAGTGTGTGATAGTATTCATATGCTGAAACTTTACTTGACCATGTGAGTCACAGAAAGTGATCCAAGACTGTTCTGGTGCAAGCTGTTCTTGGATTACAGATGGTGGCAGGATACCAACCACATTGCAGAAGCTGTTGGCAATGGGACACACACTGCTCACAGCCACAGAAATTCACATTAACAGGGTGAATGCCATTGACATCGATGATGACAAAATCTAAATGACCATGCTCTGGACAGTAGCAAAACATGTCTTCATGACTGAGCCAAACTATGAGGCCAAGCTGCTTTAAGGTGACATGCTCAAAGAACTTTCCATTCCACTTCTGCAAATGATTTGTGAAGGGTGGGATGTATTATAAACTGGATGAGCTCACCTTGATTTTGTGTAATGGTAAACATTGATGAGTTGCTAGACAACAGGTCTGACATGACAATGTGACCCCATGACAATCTTCACAATGAAAGAGTCATTCATTTGGCATTCCACTAGCCACCTCACAACTACACCATTTGGCAGCATCACCATGGCTCTCAAGCCAGAGTTTTTCAAAGAGATACTCCTCGTGATAACCATATTCTTCATCATTGAACCCTGCCCACTCCTTGAACAGGTCATCCTGTCCTGTAAAAGGTCAGTGTCTTATCAGTTCAAAAAAAAACTTACTGAGATTTGAGTTTGCTGCACAGATCTGCTGGGTGCAACACCATAGGCATCTCCATCCCAATAGTTGTCCTCATTCCCCCAATTGTCTGAGGCCTCCATAAAGCTGTCTGCAGGTCCATTTGGTGTAGTCTGAAGTCAGATAGGTGGGTTGTGAGTAGTGACAAGGCAGTGGTAGTTGTCAGAAAATTGAACTGTGTGAGAGAAAGCATGCCTACTTTCATCAAAGGTTTCACAGTACATGTGGTATGTTTTCTTTTTTTCCCTGGGGATCATCATGGCTCAGCCTTGAGTGCAGGAGATGAGAAAAAATTGTGTTCACCTTGTGTGGCCATTGCCTGCAATCCCAATCCATGAATGATAATGACCCAAGAGAGAAGCCAGGAATTTTTTTCAATCCTTCTTTCCATGAGTATTCACTTGGAAAGCAAGTCAACTACATGTTTGGTATTTTAAGATAAGTATGGTACCATTGTATAAGACCTTACCAAATGAAAACACCCCCATCTCCAGGCCATTGCCACAGTATGGCAAGCCAAACCATTGCAGGGTCACTGTGCTTTATGTGTGTTGTGGTTGTGGGCTTATCAGATGGTAGTGCAGATCAGAGTCTGGGAGAATGGAAGGGGGCACTCTGCAAATAAGGTTCTGGTACTTGCCACAAACATGCCAGTGTCATGGGATGAGATTCAATTGGCTGGTAGGTAGTCATCAAATTATGTAATCACCCTTGGTCTTCTCAAATGCGAAGGTTGGAAGTACAGTGTACATGGTTTCATCTACTTGTCATGTAGTTCTATCAGTACCAGTAAAAATATTGCATCTCTCTAGATATCATGCCTATTACATAGATCTATGAGATCCTGCAAAAATTTTGCTTTGTTGATGGCCATGCCTTGCTTTGCAAGCAATGTAATGAACTGTTCACTTGTATGCGCATTTCTGTAGACTTTGATGATGAGATTGACATCCTCAGCACCATACCCATGAGAAGCAAGATAGAAAGAGGTTAGAGTACCAAGTGGGCACACTAATGTCCACACAGGCATCATAGAAGTTGGATAGTAGTGGCTCAATATTATACCATGTAGGTTGTGAACATGACTGTATATGATAGGGGATGGCTCTGCATCACTCATTGCAGTCTCCAGCCTAGTGGAAGAGGTAGAGGTTGCAGAAGATGAGGCATGGGATGTAAATGCTGAGGCTGTTTGTGGTGTCTGTGACAAAATATGCAGTGAATCATGGAGCCATTTGCCCAAGGTATCAATGGGGCTCTCAGGGACCTCCACAATGATCTCCAAAGGTGGCATGTGTTGAGGAATGCCTTTAACAATCACAAATGCCAACACAAGCCAGAATGAGGGGGTGTGCCTGTGTATAGGGTATGTTATGCCCGAGCGCGGTGACTTCTTCAAATGGAATAGGCACGAAGCGCGCGAGGTGGGAGACTACGGGCCGAACTTGTCGTAACCCCTATGGCAGAGTTATCGCAATAATCCGACAGAGGTTCTGTCTGCTGGCGAGTCCCTAAGGTTGTTCGCGCGGAGAGAGAACGAGGATTGGAGCGAAGTAATTAGCTCTGTTGCAAGCTATCGAAAAACTGAGGATACAGGATAGAGTACGTCGGACTAAATACCCCTGAGTACGAGTACCCTACCAGTCGCGACAGACGCGTCGCGACGCGTATCCGCAGTAATCAACAAAGTAATCACTGAAATAAATAAGAGTCATCCGGAGTCAAAGATGTGGGTAGTCAAGGGGACGAAGGCTATACCGGCTGCGCAATCAATGCGCAGCGAAGAGCCAGACTCCGGAACTATAGTACAACAATCAGGCAACATAAACGAGTCAAGGAAAAGGAAACGGGACATCTGCGCAATCTAAGAGCGGCGAACGTCACGGACGGATCACAAGTGATGAGTCTCGACAGGTATTGGAAATACCTGGACAGCGGGTGATCCGAGTTCTCCCTTCAGCATCCGTACTCCTAGGTACACGACCACGGCGAGAGACGCGACCAGGCACGTGACGCACGTGACTGCGAGAAGTCGAAAAAGGAAAGAGGAGGAACGAAAGCGTAACATCACCCCCCCCTCAAGGTCCTCAGACCCTTGAGGACGAAGTGGGCGCATTTGTGAGACGGGCGGATAGGGGTCGGCGAGTAGTATAGACGCGGGAACGCGTGCGAGAGGCGACGGGCGACGGAGGCGATGGAGACGGCGGTTCCTCGAGGGCCGGAGTAAAACGGGAGCCCCGTCCGTTGCGGCACGACCAATGTCCCAAGTAACGACACTGGTAGCACGCATGTTGATACAAGGGGTGTCCCACAGGGACCGGGGACTGCCCACCGAGGTAGAACCGAAGTTGATCTGCAGGGACGGGGACGAAGGGAGTATCAGGGAGAGCGTCGGTGGAGTGGACTGCGTTATGATATCGTTTATGCATTCCGGCCCACGACGCATCCTGAAGGAGAACCTCCCAAGAGGAGTTGTAAGTCCCGGTACCAAGGCGAGCACCAACCTCTTTAAAGAGTTCGCCAGAGTCTACATAGGAAAGCTCCACCGCTCGCCATTCCTTCTCCTTCTCCTGATCCGCCTTGTCTTCTTTCATTTTGCTTTCTTTAGGCGTTTCTTCTTTCGGGATGATGCGATCAAGAAGGCGAGAAGCCGGTGGCGCGAGGAACTCGTTGAACTGTTGTTGACGTAAGTGATGATAAGCTCCTCCGGTGATGGCTTCCGTAATATCGGCCGAAGCCTTCTCCAGCATTCCGACCATGATCACTTCCGAAAGAGGCGCTACCCCTGTCAACTTCCTGGTTCGTATCTTCGAGATAAGTCCGTTCATCACGTCTGATGCTCGGTAGACCTCAGACAGCAGCCCAAAATACGTATCTTGTTCTGGTGAGCACCCGTCAATGTGGTCCCCGTGCTTGAAGAGGTCAAGTGCCCTAACAACGTCCACGTATTCAGCTGCTGGGACTGGTAGTCTTTGCTCGTCAGCCCTGGCATTGGCGGCAGCGATTGCGGCAAGGACGTCGAGCGCGGCACGGTCGCCTCGGTCAGCATAGGTGGTGAAGGCGCTGCGTACGTCGGAAGATTCGGCAACATCGGGGGCACGGGTCTTGGGGGTTCCACTATCGGGGTCATCGCTAACGCGCGCCTTTCCCTTTCCCTTCTGGCTACTGTTTCCACCGGGGGAAACTCTGACCTTTGGGATCGGGACGCGCTTGACCGAGATGCCCTGGAGTGGGCGCGGTCCGCTAGGTCGGGTGGTAACGGACGACACCGAACGGGGCTGGGACACGGGCGACGAATATCCAGAGACATAAAAACCGGCGGGAGAGGACGGGGGAGAGGTTGGGAGATAGGTGGCGACGGGGGGTACGAGTCCGTCGTCAAAGGCGTCATGAAAGGATTCTGGGAGGGGGAGATCGGGGTAGTCATTTTCAGTGTTTACGGAACGCGGGGAGTCCATTTAGTTCTTAAGGTGACGAGCGAGCTTGTACTGTTCCAAGACGTCCTGGGCGTGGTCTTTTAAGTGTTCCTCGGGTTCCCACGTATTTGACGAATGGGGAAAACCTTTCCACTTTACCAGGTACCGCCTTTTTCCTCTTCGTCCATCAACCTTGTGATTTATCACTGACTCCACCTCCCATTCCACCTCATCATCCACTAACTCGGGTAAGGGCGCTGCGGGCGCAGCTCCATATGTCTCGTTTTCGACAAATGGGAACAGCCTTGACCCATGAAACACGGGATGAACCTTCCAAGACGGCGGGAGGTCCAATCGGAAAGCTACCGGTGACACAACCTGAGTCACTTCAAAGGGGCCGAGACGTCGGGGCGCAATCTTGTCGCACTGGTTCTTGATGCGCAGGTGCGATGTATCCAGGAGTACCTTGTCTCCTACCTTGGGCGCGATATATGACCCTTTTGAGCGCGACTTCATCAAGTCCTGTGCCTTTTTATGGGCCAGAACTGCGACGTCGCGACTTGCCGCTAGCTTTTCCAATCTTTCCTCAACCGAGGGGACCGGGGTTATTTTGATCTCCGGGTACGGCGCTGGGTCGTAACCAAGGAGCAGGGAAAAGGGGGACATTTGATGGACGGAATGGATCCTGGAGTTGTGAGCGAATTCAGCGGAGGGTAACTTGCTACTCCACGAGTTCGGGAACTCGGAGCAATAAAGTCGTAGATAACCTTCCACTTCCTGATTGACGCGTTCGCTCTCTCCATTAGTTTGCGGATGATAGGCGGTCGAGAGTTTGGTTCGTATTCCAACGGCTTTGTATAGCTCCTTAGTAAAGGATGACGCGAACTGGGGGCCACGATCTGAAATTACCGATTCCGGTAGTCCGAACCGGGCGTAAACGAAGCGATGGAACAGCTTCGCCAATCCTTCGGAGTCTATTGACTTGTGGCAAGGTACGAACAGGGCAGCCTTGGACAGCCCTTGATCGACAACCGTGAGAATCGAATCGAACTTTTCATCTCCGGAAACGGGAAGATCCGTAATAAAGTCCATCGAGATTTGTTGAAACGGGAGTACCGCAACGGTCGTTTCATGAGGCGTAACCGGCGGTCTAGGCGGATGAGTCACCACCTTACTCCCTTGACATACCGGGCATCCCGCGACATAGGACTTGATGTCCTTTCCCATACCTTCCCACCATACTTCTTTACGCATTTTAGCCATCATTGCCTTCTGACCTGGGTGTCCGGACGACTCCAAGTCATGATAGGTCTTCATACAATGGCGGCGGTTTTCGGGGGGAATGTAGAGACGAGTAGTCCCGTAACGCTGAGTACCGTCGGGATGCGTGGTAACGTTGTCCTTGTTTATGGGCGACTCTTTTTTTGCGTTTTTCTTTATTTCGTTGTATAAATCGGCCGACACAGCGAAAACCCCTCGGGCTCCTTTGGCTATCTCCTCAGATGGGCGAGCCGGGGCGTCCTTCTTCTCCTTTGTAGTATCCTCAGACGGGCGAGAATAAGGTTTCGCTTGCTTCTTCGACCTCTCGATACGAGCCGGGAGTCGATTTATATACATTCTGCGGTTTATTTTTCGTTGTTTCGTAAGTTTCGTGATGGAAAAAGAAGGGGAAACGAGTCGGACTGGGGTGTCCACCCCCTCCTCAAGCCAAAGGTTCGGGGGGAGAACCGTGGCCACGGGGGCAGGCTCGGCAGACTCGTTTTTGCGGGAAAGAGTGTCGGCTGGCACCTGAAGCCGGCCAGCTTGCC